CTCTTCTGTCTTCCCATTTTGAAATTGTAGTTTTTTATTTTACATAGAACATTGTTGTACATATAGCAAATTACATGTTTAAATTATAATTTTATTTCAAAACCTAGACTTCAATATTCTTGAAACTCTTTAATTTTATTTAAATATAAAATTTCATTAATATTGTGCATATTACCTGATCACTTTGAGTTTTTAGAACTAATCTTCTCTGTGTTCAGTAAGGCATCTTGGAGTTGATATTTAGATATTTCTGCATTTGAGAGCTCTCACAAAGGCTCTTTTTTTTTTATACCAGTAAGAACTTTTAGTTGCATAGCAACAGGAAGTTGTTCTTTATCTTCTAGTAGGTGATGAGAAGTCCTTATAATCCACCAGGAAGCCTAAGTAGGAGCACTGGATACTGGGTTACAGTTTATTGCTTGTTTGAAGACTTTAAAGGCTACTGTTTTAGTCTCAAGTAAATGCATAAACAGATTATTTGATATATTTATGTGTAATTCCTCCTTTTTTCCCCTAGGATTGTATTTTGAGATAGGATTTAACTATGTAATCCCATGCTGGCCTTGAACATAGGATCCTCCAGCCTCTTGTGAAGCTTGGGATTACAGGCACATTCTTTTGTGCCAGTTGTTACTGTTCCTTTTAATTAATGTATCGGATGTATCTAGGTATAGTCAAGTGTGTTTTCTAGTATGTAAATCCAGTCTATGATTGGGTTTCCTACTGCTGAAATTCTTTCCCTGTCTTTTCTATTTTTGTTTGTATGTATATTATCATTACTATTCATTTAATGGTCTTCACATCCAGTTCATTTTCACACCTGTCACTTTAAGATAGTTGCCAAAATTTCTTTTTCTGGTTTATTTATCCTGTCCCCGTTTTAGAATCCAGTGTCTCTGTTTGACTTCCCAGTTGGTTTTGTGGACTTCTCTTGATCCTGATGAACAGTTGTCTATGTTTTACCTTCTGGTGTGTTTGTTTGTTTTGTTTTTCCAAGACAGGATTTCTTTGTGTAGCCTTGGTTGTCCTAGAACTAGCTTTGTAGACTAGGCTAGCCTCAGACTCACAGAGGTTTGCCTGCCTCTGCTTCTTAAAGTGCTGGGATTAAAGGCATGTGTCACCACCAGCTGGCCTTCTGCTTTACATCTGTCTTATCACTTTGCTGTATTAGCTGATTTTCTTCTTTTGGATTCTTACCCCACAATTTTCATATTTTTTCACCATTGTATATAGGAATTGACTGATATACATGAAAAAATCAGAGTGGTATTGTCATTGACTGAGGGGGAACCTATTTGCATCTCTTCCACCTTTGAGCACCTAGAGACATATTCTCGGGGGTTATGAAGCTCAAAGATCATTCTGTAATGAACACTTACTATGAAAAATAAACTCTATGTATTGTTTTATGTACAGAAACTACTCAGAATCTTTGTGATTAGTATGTCAGCTAAACCTACTGAAGTCAGAAGGTTGCTTGTTGGGTGTTAGGTCAGGGTAAGGCAATCTTAGTTGACTTTTGAGTCAACTTGATGATATAAAAATGATCCTACCATAAAAGACAAAAAATGTCTTAATGACAGGTGTTTTCCAGAGCACGGTGCCAGAATTTTCCGTTGACATATTTGCGTTTTCTGTCTGTGGTAAGAGAACCTGTCATGCTTTGTTAAGAGTAAGGACGCTGGGGTTGACCTAGATTTGAATCATGTGTCCATCCCACAGAGGTCAAGCTCAGAAAAATTATTTGTCTTTTGATTTACTTATTTATAATATGGAAACAATGGCATTTGCAAAAAGGACACATAATCAAGGTAAAACAATGAGCAAAGTGGCCTGTACTAATAAAAAGTAAGGGAGTCAAAATTGTATCCAAATTTTGATTTGCTGTATAATAATGAAACTATCCAAGCTTAACTAGTTACTTTTATCTTTGACAAAAAAAACAAAAAAACAAAACCTGTAGTTGTGGAGTTGTAAGTGTAACCTAGTGAGACTGTGCTTACAGCATATGGCAGCCCTGGGTTCAGTTCCGAGCACTTGGAGGGAAAGAAAGAAAGTAAAAAGGTAGTAAACAGCTTGGCGCTAATGTGGTGGATCAAGGCTCTGCAGGAACTCTTGATTCCTTCTGAGTGTCTGTTAGTAGCTGCTAGAGTTTTGACCCTAATGTTATCATTTGGAACACAAAACTGGGGTCATGAAGAAGAGACTCAGAAATAGGCCATCACTCTCATTTCTTCTTCCTCCTTCCCTCGTCTTACCCCCTTTAAACACAAGTCTCACTGTATAGGCTTGGCTGGCTTGGAACTCATTTGTAGATTGGCTAGCCTTGAAACCATGGAGATTTGTGTGCCTCTGCATCTCAGGTGCTGGGATTAGAAATGTGCACTACTATATCTGCTCAGTCCTTCTGTGTCTCCTTTACCAAACCCAGTCATTGTGACTGTAAAAGGGGCAGGCATGTCTAGATGATAAACCTCACTTCCTGGGCCTTCTTATCAGCAGGTGTAGTAGGCTATATGATCTTTATTCTTGGTAGCCATGTATCCAAGAAAACATCAGGGATTCTAGTAAAGATTTTAGGAGAGATTGAATACTGAGTGTGTGACATCAGTTCTTTTCTTCCATAATATTATTTATTGCTTATTATTGTTAATAATGAGACCGAGTTATCTACAGACTATTGTACAGTTATGTTTGTTAATTACATTTGTTTTTCTCTTGCATGACTATACAGTGAACCTAGGGCTTCACATGTGCTAGACATTGCACTGTATACACCCACTCCCAACCCTATTTTTTCCACAATTGAATTTTGAGACAGGGTCTCACTAAATTGGCTACACTAGCCTTGAACTCACTTTGTAGCCCACACAAGATTTGAACTTACTGGTCCACTTGCCTTAACCTCCCAAAATAGCAGGGATTATAGGCCTGTACTATCATGCCTGGCTTCATTATATTTCAACAGCAACCACTTGCTTAATATAAGGAGTTTCAGAAATGTTTGTAGAATCAGTCAGTTATTTTATATAACTAAGTTATTTGAGACATGGATTTACTGTAAATAGCAAAACCTAAAAGAGGTTTAATGAAATTGTTTTTATTTTCCAAGACAGGGTTTCTGTTTAACCCTGTCTGTCCTGGAACTTACTCTGTAGACTGGGATGGCCTCTGCCTCCCAAGTGTTGGGATTAAAGGTGTGCACCACTATGCCTGGCTGAAATTGATGTTTTAAAGTTCTTGGTAAAAAAAATTTAAATGCAGGCAGTGAGTGCAGAAACTGAGAACTATTCATGGGCTAAGACCCTTTGAGTGTCCTGGTTTTCCCTTTGTTCTTTGCCTACAGTTTAATTCTTGGGTTTTATATTTTCTAATGTAAAGGTGGCTCCAAGCATTGTGTTTGCTCTCCAGGCTGGGAGAGAAAAGGGAAGAAAGAAAGAAAGAAAGAAAGGAAGGAGGAAAGAAAGAAAGGAGGGAGGGAGGGAGGGAGGGAGGGAGGGAGGGAGGGAGGGAGGGAGGACAGCAGTCTATTTCTTTGTTTAAAAAAACAGGCTTCTCCTGATCTTTGTCCTCTGTTTTCTGAGCAGAACTATCTTAACATGGTTACTTTTAGCTGCAAAGGATGGAAAGTGAATTTCAGATTAGCAATGAGTAAAATAAGGCATAGATATGGTTAACATTTGCATTGTCTCTTGAGAATATCTGTTATCAATGAATAACTTTATGCTAATTTATTTAAAAGAAGTTATGCATAGATGTACTAATTATTTTTGTAAGTATACAAAACCTCCTTTAGATTTGATTTTTATCTTTTATTGTTTTTATGTTTCAGAGGAATGCTTTGCAAGCAATTTCTCCAGCCACCATGGAAGTTCTTATGCGAGTTTTATCCGATTGTGATTCATGGGAAGAAGGAGATCCTGAGGAAGTGGGTAGAAAGAGAGAACTAACTCTGAAATGCCTTACACAAGTGGTGCATATCCTTCTTACTAGTAGCTCTGACCAGCGTCAGGTGGAAACCAGTACCATACTGGAGAACTATTTTAAGTTGCTCAATTCCGATCACTCAGCTTTACCTAAGCAGGGGAGGTCCAGGCGGTGGGAAAGCCAATTCATAGCTCTGCAGATTAAGATGCTCAGTAAGTATTCAGTGAAGTTTTTCCTCAGTTTATTTTTGCTTTCTTACTCTGTTTAATCCGTTAAAGTGTCTATGCTAAAAGAAAATCAGTTATGACTAAAATTGCCAGGAAGTATAAGTCCTAGAAGGTACCATTTGTAGTCTTTACTATGATAAAGTTAATTAGGTAAATGCCTCTAACATTTCTGTTCTTTAGGACAGGTCATCTAGTTGACACAGAGGTCCCTTGTGTCTTTTTGTATCTCTGTGCAAGTCTATCTGGTTTCTATGCTTTGCTGACTCTCTAGCCAGTTTATATGATTTCTTTTTTCCTTTAGAATGACTGACTTTGTTTCGGTTACAGTGTATTAGTGTAGCACATACTTTCCATCAATTGTTTCAATCAACAATTATGACGCCCACTCATTCTTCCCTTCTAAAGGATGAATGTGTGGGGATTAGATATGCAGTAAATTTCCCAAAGTCTCTCCACTCCTATTGAGCAGAACTGGCACAGAAAGGCTAAGACTCCTGACTGCAGTCCCCTCCTCTGATTCACCAGCTTTGTGATCCAGAAGAGAGAATAAGTCACGCCAAAAAATGAGTGATATTGCAAGTACATCCGAGACTCTAGAATCCAGATTAAACATATCAATTGTTTATTGTTTATTTTTATTATTCATTTAAGTCCTTTTTGTAGTTTTATTGTAGGCATGAGTGTTTGGAAATGACATAACTACAATTAAAATACACAACCTAATACAAAAAGAATGATGTTTCCCTTTACCTTAGTAATTTATGTTGTATAAATAGAACAACAAATAAGGTACAGAACCACAGCATGGCACTTCCTATGAGATATCTCATGTCTCGTGCACACTGAATTTAAAACTGTCATTGATAGAAACCATGATGACAGTTCAGTATGCTGACTGTATTCATTACAGTTGTATATATTGTCATTACACTAAACTAGGAGACTTAGTAGTAAGAGAAATGAGAATAAAAGATTTGCTTTTTGCTTTCTGTTTGTTTGGTTTGGTTTTTTGAGATGGTTTTTCTGTGGCCATTGCTATCCTGGAACTCTGATGACCAGGTTGGCCTTGCCTCCTGAGTGGTGGGACTAAAGGTGTGTGCCACCAGCCAGCTGAGAGTAAACCTTTTATATCTCACACCCAGATATAAGAAGCAGTAATGAATTGGTGTATACATTCATATGTACATATATTAATTTAGAAATGTACATAAAAATATTCTTGAAATGGTACATTATGTGTTTATATAGAAAATTAAGAAGCATTTTGTATAGTTTTTAGTTCATATGCTATAATGTCATTTTCTGTAGTTATTGTAAGCTGTAAGTTTAAAAATCTGTTTGAGAGCTGGTGAGATGGCTCAGCAATTAAGAGAACTCCGAAGGTCCTGAGTTCAAATCCCAGCAACCACATGGTGGCTCACAACCATCTGTAATGAGATCTGATGCCCTCTTATGGGGTATCTGAAGACAGCTACAGTGTACTTACATATAATAAATAAATAATAAAAACCTTTGGGCTGGAGCGAGCAGGGCCGGAGTGAGCGGGAGAAGGGGAGGGGAAAAATCAGTTTGATTCTCTGTTAGATAGAATTGTTTTTTTATTAGGAACTGTGACATTTTTCATGCCAAATATCCTTTAATTTCTTGATTGGATTATCACTGCAGTAGGAAATGAGAGAGAAATGTTATCATTGCTTTTATGGGCTGTATATTCATTTTATAGTGTTTAAATATGACTGCTAAATATCATAAACAGATAATGCCTACTAATAGCAAATCAGACACAGAACTTGAGCCTTTTAGATCACCTTAGCAAGCTGCTGAAAAATATTTGATAGTCATATGTAAAATTGAAACTAGCTTAAATTACAAAATAGTATAAAATGTTCATTTTTCTTAATTACAGCATTTGTTTTTTGTTCAACTGTATTATCTCCCAATTAATGTAATCTGTTCTGTCAACTGAAAGATCTAACTTTAAAATGATAGCAATAGATATTTCATCCCAGGTTTTTACTTTTACCTGAGAGATTTTGTTTTTATTTTTATAGATACCATCACAGCCATGTTAGATTGCACAGACAGACCCGTTCTTCAGGCCATTTTTCTCAACAGTAATTGCTTTGAACATCTCATACGACTTCTACAGAACTGCAAGGTACTTTATTATTATGATTTTTGTTTATGAAAATTTGTTTGTTTCCCTATTTAGTTATTTGTATGTGAGTATGTACCACAGCATAAATGTGGACAGTCAGAAGGTAGCTTGTGGGAATTGATTCTATTCTTAGCATGTGGGTGTAGGGATTAGACTTGGGTTGACAGGCTTGACAACAAGTGCCTTATCCTCCTGAGCCATCTTGCTGGCATTATTTATGATTTTTAAAAATGTTTCTTTTTATTTGGGCGTAGTAGCACATGCCTTTGATCTTAGCACTTAAGAAACAGAGGCAGGTGGATCTCTGTGAGTTTGAGGCCAGCCTGGTCTACACGATGAGTTGCAGCACAGCCAGAGCCACTTAGTGGAACCTTGACTCAGAAAAAAAACAAAACAAAACAAAGGTTTGATTTGATTCAGATTTCAGCACATCATTACCAAAATTTTTATTGTTAACTTGTATTTTTATTTCATTATATAATCAAGTTTTATGTTTTTAAACAAATAAACTGATTTAATTATCATTATAAAGTTAGGACATATTAGTATATATGTATACATACCTTACGTCACAGATTAGAAAAATGAGACACAAAGGTTTATACTTTGTCCCAGAGCTCTGATCCAGTGAGAGCCGGATGTAGGACTCTGGCCAAGGCTGTCCTCTCTCAGGTTGTGCAGTTCTCACTGGGCACTCTGTCTCATGCTCTCACTTTGCTCAGCGAGGCAGAGGGCATTGAGTAGTCATATTCCCTGGTCTAGGAACTAGGCAAATATCTCAATCCTCCACTCTAAGAAGAGCCCCTTAAAGAAAGGGCTACTCACTGTCTATATGGGGATAGGCTTTGTCTTGATTGAAACTAGAATTACATTGCTTATAATTGTCTAAAAGTATTAAAATTCATGTGAATTTTTTTGTATGATGACATTTCAGCTTAGGCATTGATACACATACTTGAGACCATTTAAAGTCATAATTTGCTTCTGGTTTCTTGCCTGACTATTTGTTTAGAGCATACAAATACAGTGAAGTTCCTTATGCCGTTTGACAAGCACTTCCATTCACTGAATTATCTTTCCAGCTCAGTATTTTGTATCAGGTAACTCTGAAGTGTTTTATAAATAGAATTTTATTTCTTGTAGAATTCCTAGTCATAGGGTGTAAACTAGACTTGTATGTTTTTAAAATTAGGAGACTTTGTATTAAACAACTTACAACTAATTAGAAAATATAGAAAACTAATAGAACACTGTTAAGGCTCTTGGTACATACTGCCAGTTAGCTTTTTCACTGTTATTACTGTTCTCCAGTTTATGCTTGCCACAGCAGTGTGAGAGGGCACACAGCCGTTATGTTTCTGTGCTTTATATTGTGTGCTCATGTATTTAAGATGTTGCTAAACATCTTAGGTTGGAAACAGAACTACTCCATCGATCTGTATGCCTTTCTATTCATTCTTGTACTTCCTAGTTGAAAACAGTTGGTTGATTCTGATAGTATTCTTCAGTAAGGATTTTTGTTTTTCTCATTGATAAATGCCATATCCTTGAAAGTTTTTTATGTTACTTCATTGCTTACTTTATAGTAATATAGTTAAATAGAGCAGAATATACATTTAATATATTGATGAAGTATGTAATGACAAGAATTTCAAAGGTTATCAAACTCCTGAATTCTGGTTAGTCAGCATGCCTCTCCTCTTGACTTGTAAATATTTTGGAAAATATTTTAGAGAGATAAAAAATACACAGCAGAAGTATTTATAAAACATTTTGATTATTGTAAAAATAATATGGCTTGGTTGCTTAGGAAGACAGTGTCATTAACAAAGTTATCTCATGTGTATTAAGAGAATACGTATTTAGCCAAGTGGTTTACATTTTGTCTGTGTTAATGGCAGCATATAAGGGTTCCATCTCCACATCCTCTCCAACATTCAAAAGTTAACCATTGAGGCAGTAATTAAGTATTTAAAACATTAAAATTAAGTCTTTGTGATAAATTTCCAAATTTACTCTTTACACAAGTGAAGAAATAATGTCCTGAGGTGTTAAATTACTAGGTTATCCTTAATACTAATAATTGTTGGAACTAGAATCTTTTTTACTCATGTTTTTTGGCCATAAGTTCACTATAATATATAGTTACTGTAAATTTGTTTCTCATATTCAGGATTACTGGTTTTATCTAGTATAAAATATCTACTGTGTATTATATAAGGCAATTATAGCTTTCATCAATATATAGCATTTTATGAACATAGTTATGATTTCTGAATATATAAAAATATTTGAAATCTTGTGAAAATTTAGATTCCCCTGTATTTTATGATATACATATTGCTTTCTGTGTAATTTTGTTGTTGCTTTCAATAAACAAGTCATTTAGTCTGTTTTATACAATAAAGCAAAATCAAGATGATTTTACTGTTAAAATATTCATAGTTACTGGAAACAACTTTAAGTAAAGCTATCAAGTAACAAAAGTAATTTATGAGTCAGATGGAAAATTTTAAACTGACTGTTGGTATTTTTTTTGAAAACTTATTTTGTGTGTGTGTTCTCACGTGTGCGCATTTGTGTGTGTGCCTATGTGAGTGTCTGTATGTCTGCATGATTTGATATAAATGTGTGTATATGCTAAAATGTATATCTGAAGATCAGAGGATACCTGGGGATGGGACTTAGTTTATTGGACTTGTGCAGAAAGTACTTTTATACACTGAGCTATCTTGTTGGCCTAGACCATCGGTCGCTTGCTTCTCTGGCATCTTTGTGTATGATATTCACCTAATATCACATGTGTTTGTTTCCTAAGAATTTATGTAAAGGCTTCTGTGCTTGGTAACTAAGTTTCATTATAATACAAAATTCTTATATATGTAAAATATATATTGCATGGACATCATATGTCATTAGATATAGTGAATGTTGAACATTTTATTAATTCTTTGAGGTTTTTTACAATGTATTTAGATTATCCAACAATATTTTAATTACAAGAAAAGCAGTACAACTTGTCATTAGTGCTAGCAAGAAGTATTTAAAACCATCATATTGGCTTTAAGTGGGCTGTGTTTTCTGTGTCTTAAATTTTTAGAGTTAAACACTTTCTGTTTTAAGAGCAACAACTTTAAATTTTTTTAATTTTTTTTTCTTTTAAACAAAGACCTGAGTGCTGGGATTAAAGGCATGTTCTACCACTGCCCAACTAACAATATGCTTTATGTAGACTGGTGTATTAGCTTCTGGCTTGTGGGACTAGGGATCAGTCTTAGGACTTTTGTCTGTTAGGATTGCATTTTATTTATTTTTTTTTTTTTAGGATTGCATTTTATTAATGAGTTATATTTCCAGTTCTGGAGACTACTTAATTTTTCATTTTCATCTCAGCATCCCACTCCTTTGTACACCAATAATATAGAATATTAATATTACTTGTACATTTCCTTTATAGTATTGTCTATCATTTTTGAAATCACTATTATGTTCTAGACTTAATGCAAATAAGCTAGTATAGATTATATATTATTTAATCTGTCAATTATTTCATGAGATATTCTCATTCTAGGTAAATAAGGTTGGAGAAGTAGCAAAGAACTGGGAATATAGTTGGTGGTAGAGCACCTTCCCAAATGTGCATAAGGCCTTAAGTTAGAGCTTTAGCACCACACACACACACACACACACACACACACTCACAGACACACACATGCACGCACACATACACTCTTAATAGTACCAATAATCATTTAGAGATTTTGCGAGGGGAGGTAGCATGAGTTCAACAGTTGAACAGAACCAAGATACAAATCAAGGCATCTGATTCCAGAGCCTGTCCTTGTCTTTACGTGTACAGCTGCATTCTACATCACACTACCCTGCTGCCCAGTTTATTTTATATGACATCATATAAGCACGCAAGTCAACCAGTTCCATTTCTGAAATAACAGAATTTCCTAAGAAGTTCCTTATTAGAAAGCTCTTAGTTTCTTTATAAATCTTTCTCTCCATTTCACTTTCATGTGAACTTTCTTTCTCCTCATTGATGTGACAAAAGTTGAAACCTTTTGGGAGGCTGAGTTAATGCACTGCAACTAAAGTACCTAATGACTTTACTTCATGTAAAAGAGGATAATTATAAGCCAGCCTTACTACTCGCTGGGTTAAGGCATTGGGCACTCAAGCCAATGACCAGAATTTATCCATGGAACCCATGTAAAAGTGGAAGGAGAGAACCAACTCCACAAAGTTGTCCTTTGTCCTCCATATGTGCAGTGTGGCATATGCCTCTCTCTCACTTCATGCTCACATATAATTGCATCCACAAGAGTAAGTTTTTAAAAGAAACTTACAATGTAATCCTTATGTGTGCCAGGGATTTCCTTTTCTAGACTACAAAATAAAATATGAATTAGGTCTGCTGAAGACTATTTTTAACAATATGAGATCAGATAAATGTGGGTAGTCAGTACTGCACACTGACTTCCCTTGTCAAGCTACACACTAGTCTCTTTTGAGATTCTGAGAAAAATTGCTGGAAAGAGCCTCTTTAAATGTTAGCTTCATAGGATTTTGCAGTCTTACTCAGCTAAATACAATATTTCCTATGGAGTAGGAAACTTTCAGTAGTAACTTTCTTTTCTGAATGTCATTCTCCGCTGATTCTTCAAGAATTATTCAAGAAGAGAATATTAATCAGTTGTTATTGTTTGTTTATTTTAAGAACTTTATCTACAATAGTTATATAGAATGTAAACTACTATTAAATTGTTATTCAGAAAGCAAATAATTACATATTTCTGGAAGTTATGTACCTCACATGTGGATTCTTGGATTAGTTTTCAAGAGACATGGAAATCCAGCTGGACCTCATTCTGCTTTTAGGTAACAATTTAATGTTCTTTCTCCATTGTTCTTGTCTCTGTTTTTAACAGCTATTTTTAAATGCTCACAGTAAGGTGACAGACAAGAACGAGAAAGACCTTGCCAACCAATTACTGACAGAGATGAGTGAGGACCAGGTATCTACAAAACCTGCATCTTGTTTCAGCTGAAGTCCAAAATCAGTCAGTGGGATGACTATTCCTGTGCTTTTCTTATTTCTCCAAACCCACAGACCTCTAATTCTATTTAATTTTGAGGACTATTTAAATTAAAACATAAATCATCATTATAGTTTTATCTGTTTTAATGTGTGCTTTTTCCAGTGTGAGAAGATAAAAAGTACAGGAATGGAACCCAGTTTCAGTGTTGACCACCTGGTGATGATGACTTTGTGTTTGAGGGGCTTCATTTTCTAAGCACTGTGGTGTATTGGGACATGAGGACTTTGTGAATATGCATAGTCATGGTTAATATCTTGATTCTTTGCTTCTTGTTGACACAATGATTATAACTAAATGGACAACCTGAATCTTGGAGGAAGGGAAGAAGATGATGAACCCTTTGAATGCTAATTCAGCATACAATTTGATTTGTTGTTGTTGTTCTCCAAATTTAACCTTCTTGTAAAATTGTCCTTTTTTTTTCCCTCACCATATCTGTTGGAGAATTTATATATCTTTTGATAAAATTATTTTAATGCTTAGGTTTATTGAGTTGTTGAAAAAGAAACTATATTATAATCTGTTAATTTCTTTTTGGGGGTTATAAAAATAAAGACTCACAGAGTTTTTTATTGCTTTAGATTTCTCTTATTTAGATTTCAAGAGCTACTTACATATGGTTATAATTTTTTATAAGAGGTTTTGTAAATTCAAATAGTAGATATGGTGAGGTTTTTATTCTTGAGCAAAGTCCAGCAAATATCTTATTTATATAAATTTATATATGCAGAATTTTAATCTATATATGAAGTCAGGACTTAGATTAAGTAACATACCTACAAGTGATAGACCTTAGTAAACTGACATCTTAATAGTTTCTTCTATTTGCAGACCAAGTCTGTTGGGAGTTAGAACAGAGAGTGCTATTTGTGCAGTGGCTAGTGTCAGATTGTAGTAATATTGTTTCCAAATAGATTTTCAGTGCTAGTTTTCCAACTTTCTACCCTTTTAAATTCACTTGTAAGTAGGTCTATGTGTGTATAAGAAGAGTACAGTGCCATCAGAGGCCCGAGAGGGCATCAAATCCATCTTGACAGCCCCAGCTTTCTACAGTCTAAGCTCGATGTTATGATGGTCAGTTAAGCCTTATATAGCAGCTATGTTGGAATTTTTTTTAAAAAAGTATTATTGATGGTAGTCATTGGTTTATTTTCTAGGAGGAATCTCCTGATATTTAGTGTATCTCATATTTATGGTTAAGCCTAAATAAAAATCAGAGTTTTAATTTTGTAAAACTTTTGGCATTAAAGATTGTCTTCTCCAAAACTTGCCAGTACTTATAGATACATTATTCATTTTCTTCTTTTGCCTCTAATTTTTTTTATAGAAATAGATGCTTTGCTTAAAAGATAATGATATATACATGCCATTTCCATTTTAGTACAGAATTTGGAAACTAAGCAAACAAGGTTATTTAAGCTATATATTAATTACATAACAGTAATTAAGACTAGTAAGTTCAAGTATATTTTTGAAGGTAAATTAAGGCATAATATAATTTCTAGTTGCAGACTTCCCTCCCCTCCTCTTGAGATTGTCCATTATTTTTTAAAAGCATGTATAAAGTCTGTTTTTCTCCTTGCCCTCAGAACATTTAATATAATGAGTGAATGTTGCTTAATTATTCTTGACACGTGGCTTAATTAAGTGAATTAAGTCCCTTTTTCTTGCAGATTATGTTTCAGTGATCCACATGGTAGGAAGAGGAATGTAATGCATGCCATTTCTTCAGGTTTTCAGAACAAGAGGTTTCCATGTGAACAAAATCTTAGGTTTATTTGTTAATTTCTTGCTGTTCCCCTCTGGTAGGTATTCCAGGGACAGTTGGATTGCTTGGCTGTGTCAGCCATTCAGGCTTTGACAGCAGTGATGAAGAATTCTCCAGCTGCTAAGGTGAAAAATAGATCTTCAAGCTTTAAAATATGTATTTTATCAATTTTTGCTGTAAATCCCAAAGTTATATGTGATAAAGTATATAAAAACACTTAGTGTAACACCTGTACTAAAGTAGTTTACAAAAATAGAATCCTATAGCCGCACGCAGTGGCTTCTTATCATTTGCTAATAATTTAATAAACAAACTCCTTATGGATACTTTAGGATTTTGAAAGATATCGATGAACTTGTATCATAGTACACACTTTTAATCCCAGCACTCACATGGCTGGCTCTCTGTGAGTTTGGGCTAGCCTGTTCTTGATAGCCAGTTCCAAGCTAGTCAGGGCTATGTAGTGAGACTCTCAAACAAATAAACAAACACACAAACAAAAAATGACTGATGACTGAACTGAACTGTACACTAATAACTGTTTACAGTGTTGCTCAAAAGAGGGTCATATTGTTGGGATTAGACGGGTCATGTTACTGGTATTGATAAGTGAGTGTTTGGCCTTAAAGAATTAAGTTTTACAATATAGTTTTTAAAAATTAATACCAGTTTTGCTATTTAGTCAGTTTATAACTATCCAGAATATGAATATTTTTCATGTGTGATCACCTTGTCAGCATGGGACTTGTTTTCCCAGTGTATGTGGCTATAGGATTCCGTTTCTTTTTTTGTGACCATTAACCTCAAGGTTTTATATCACTCTTTTTAAGATTTGTTTTTATGTGCTTTGATATTTTACTTTCATGTATGTCCATGTTGTTATTATAGCAAGAACATAGAATGTGTTTTAAGATAGACACAGTCAGGTTCAAGGGCACATGTCTATCCTCCCAGTTCCTGAGATAGGTGAGACGGATAGGATTACAATTTTAAGGTTAGCTTAGGCATCAAAGCCCTGTTTCAGAAGAAAGAGAGAAAGATGGATATAGATGGACATAGATCATCGAAGAACAAAACTGATTTCATAATTTTTGTATTGTATATTAATTAGTTTAAATAAAGTATTCAATATTTAATATTTCAACAAATTTAGTCACTGAAAATGTGCTTTGATATTGTTTTACTCTCTAGGAAGTATTTAAAGAAAGAATTGGCTATATGCACATGTTTGAGGTATTAAAATCCTTGGGCCAGCCGCCACAAGAACTGCTTAAAGAACTTATGAACATGGTGAGTTTTTAACCTTTATGATGAGAAGTTCCACTATTTCCACTTTAGGAATAGTAACTACCCTCTCCTTCTGTGTTACTTTCCAGGCTGTAGAGGGTGATCATACTTCAGTTGGCATTTTGGGCATTAGTAATGTCCATCCTCTCTTGGTTCTTATCCAGTGGCTTCCGGAGCTAGAATCCCATGACCTACAGATCTTCATCTCTGATTGGCTGAAAAAAATTTGTTGCATTAATAAACAGAGCAGAACTACGTGTGTGAATGCAAACATGGGGATAAAAATCATTGAAACCCTTGAATCCCATTCTTCCCTACATCGAACTTGTGCTGAGAACTTGATTGCAATCCATGGTTCATTGGGGAGTCAGTCTGTGAGCTCAGAAGAAATCCGTCGGCTTCTGCGACTGCTGAGAGTAGATGAATCGGAGAGTATTCACCCGTATACCATTCCTGTGACTCGTGCGATCCTGACAATGGCACGGAAACTCAGTTTTGAGAGTGCACTGCAGTATTTTAATTTGTCACATAGTATGGCAGGAATTTCTGTGCCTGCCATTCAGAAATGGCCTGGGTCTGCATTTTCCTTTACTGCTTGGTTTTGCTTAGATCAGGATCCATTAACCCTTGGGAGTGCTAACAAAGGAGGAAAAAGAAAACAATTATATAGGTAATGGTACAAATTGTGGAATGTAAATGAATACTGTCACTTAGTATATGCTATGATTCATGAATAGGAAAAAGTAAGCATCTAGTTTTTAAAATTTGTAACAGTTAATCTGAAAAATTTTCATTTGGTGGCTGTATAGTTTAGAGGTGCCTTATTGCTTTCAAAATAATTATTCCGTAGATATTTTTCTGGCTAAAAACTGTATGTCTTTAGGAAACAAAAATAGAAGTAGTATAAAAGTGGAGAAGAAAGGACTAGTAAACTTGCCCCACTGAAGGAGCTGTGTTCTTATGTAAAACGTGCAGGCCTCAGTGGGTATTAATAAACAGGGTCTCTCTGTAGCCCTGGCTGTCCTGGCACTCACTCTGTAGACTAGGCTAGCCTCAAACTGCCTGCTTATGCCTCTTGAGTGATGGGATTAAAGGCATGTGCCATGACACTCCAGTAATAAATTTTTACATGCTTTATGGTTTTAAAAACTTTTATGTATGCTTTCTGGATGTTCAGAAGAATTTAAAGGTTTGAAAATTTTAGTTTTAGTTTTGCTCTAGTACAGTGGTTCTCAGCTTGTGGGTTGCAACCCCTTTGGCGAGTCTATTTGACCAATTCACAGGGTCCTAAGACCATCAGGAAACACTGAATCATATGTTATGATTCATAACAGTAGCAAAATTACAGTCGTAAAATAGCAGCAGAAATAATTTTATGGTTGGGGTCATTACAACATGCGGAACTGTATTAAAGGGTCGCTTTGTTAGGAAGGTTGGGAACCATTGCTTTAGCTAGATAATGAAATCCCATAAACAGTATTATCTTTTATAATTTATTAACTTTTATGCCCAAAATGGATTTAAAAATGACTGAAACAAAATTAGGCTGATGAATTAAATTGTAGCATTGTTAATAAAGACATTTGTGACAGCTTTGTAGTTAACTATGATGGGCTTCAATGATAAAGAGACTGGGCAAGGTTCTGATGACGTATATTTTTGTTAGCTTTTTTACAGGAAGTGGAATGGGTTTTGAAGCTTTTATTACCCACTCAGGTATGTTGGTTGTGGCAGTGTGCACAAAAAGAGAGTATGCAACAGTTATGCTTCCTGACCACAGTTTCTGTGATTCTCTCTGGGTAAGACTTGAGGACACCATGTCAAATTCTTGGCTCTATCTTTCCTCTAAGACATATAACAATTTGATGTATTTTTATGAGGAGCTTTTATCAGCTTTGCCAATTTTCATTTCTACATTCTGTGGGTTGTGAAGTTCTATCTATAAAGATGTTAGTATATCTACTATTGTCATTAAAGGAACAATAATTTTTTTGCTGAAACTTACATTGTGAGTCTTTGAAGATTTCCTAGACTGATTTTTTAATTTCAGTTAAAAATGAAAGGTGAGGTTGTTAAACCAGTTATTTCTGTTGCTTATCTAAAATTATAAAATGCTTCTCATTGAAAAAGATAATTCTAAGAATATTTAAAGCATTATAAAATGCAGAAGAGACCATAATATTTATGACTCTTCTGGAAATTGCTTGTTTTTTTTGTAGTACTTAAAATTGTTATTTGTTTTGGGAACATCATTGAATCAGTGTTTTAGCTGTCCTTAATATTTTGTTTATACAAATTATGAAGTAATATTCTTTAAGCATTGGTCATTGCCAAGGCACAGTGTGATTTTAGTCATTTTAATGTATGCTTTTCTTTGTCAGCACAACATAACCATTGTTCACATGCCTGGAAAAAGGCCCTTTGGGCAGAGTCTTGTCTATATCTATGACAATGGACAACAGAAGGTTTCTGCCCCTCTCAGATTCCCTGCCATGAATGAGGTGAGCATAAGTAACTTATTCTTTATAGGCCTGTTGACTGAAAAATCCTGAAGATATTTAGGAAATATATTCAATTTTTTGCCTAAAAATTTTGAATTGTGTTCTATGTTAAGAAACAGAAATTTGGTATTCATTTCTCTTAGTCTGTCATTAGATAATTTCAGATATTATGTTTAAAAAAATCAACTCAAGAAAGAAATATATAATGAAAGGTTTGGAGAGGTAGGTTCAGCAAAGCCAAAGAAATGACTAGACCAGATGGAAGTATCATAAAAAACAAAACAAAACAAAAAACCCAAACTTCTTCAAAGTATGTAAAATGTTTAAGAAAATACTACAATAGACTTTTTGTATCTATTACATTTGAACTGGTGATTAAGTCACCTCAAGCTTTATTCTCCACCTCAAGCTTCATGTACAGCTCCATAGTATTTCATTTCATTGTTGTTTTGTGTTTTCTGAGATAGGTCCTCACTATGCAGCTCATGACTATTTTGCCCTGGCTTCCCCAGTCCTGGAACTATTACCCGTGTGCCACCTAGCCCAGATTTGCACTGTTTACTTTTAAATGTGAAAAGAATTATTTTAAAATTGTGTGATTTTAAGTACTTTTTGTCATTTTTGTTTAATTTTTAGCCATTTATTTCCTGTTGTATTGGTTCAGCTGGGCAAAGAACCACTACTCCTCCACCATCTCAAATCCCAGATCCACCATTTTCTACTCCCATTACCCCTCACCGGACATCATTTGGTGGAATATTGTCATCAGCCCCTTGGGGAGGAACAATTGAAAAATCAAAATTGTTTACCAAATTAATTTCAGCTGGAACCCAAGATAGTGAATGGGGTTGTCCCACATCTCTGGAGGGCCAGCTAGGATCTGTGACTATATTCCATGAAGCTCTGCAGCCTCCTCAGGTCAAGGCTTTATACTTAGCAGGTGAGCATGCACAGCCACAGTATTTAGCATTGTCTTTTCTTCCTGTTTTTACCTGAATCTTCCTAAAGAGTTATTTGATTTGAAGAATGTGTTCATTTGTTCATTCATTCATTCCTTCGCATTTTGTCACATTTTGGGCATCTGGCACATACTAAGCAAGTAATCTAAGTACTGAACTATATTACAGACCTGTGGTTGTTTTTATTGGAACTGAAAAGAAAAGCCTGTTGTATACTATACTGTTTTGTAGGAATGCCTAAAATAAGTGGTGTGTGTGTGTGTGTGTGTGTGTGTGTGTACCTTTGTAAGTTCATGAGCACCATGTGTGTACAGTTGCCCAGACAGGTCAGAGGGTATCTGATCCCGTACAGTTTGGAGCTGGTTCATCTAGGTGCTGGGAACTGAACCCAGATCCTCTGCAAAGAGTACTATGCACTCTTAATCACTGGGCCATCTCTCCAGACCCATTTCGAGTGATCATTAAATTTTTATTATTACTATTATTTATTTATTTATTTATTTATTTTTTACACTCTAGATTTTATTTTCACCCCCCACCTCCATCCATCCTCTGACTGTTCCACATCCGATACCTCCAACCCACCCCGCTTGTCTCCACGAGGCTGTTCCTGTCCCCTACCGCCCACCCCACCTGACCTCTAAACTCCCTGGAGCCTCCAGTCTCTTGAGGGTTATATGCATCATCTCTAATTAAATCCAGACCCAGCAGTCCTCTACTGTATATATGTTAGGGGTCTCATATCAGCTGGTGTATGCTGCCTGGTTGGTGGTCCAGTTTTTGAGAGATCTCAGCAGTCCAGGTTAATTGAGACTGCTGGTCCTCCAACAGGGTTGCCCTTCTCAGCTTATTTCAGCCTTTCCTAGTTCAACCCCAGGGGTTAGCAGCTTCTGTCCATTGGTTGGGTGTAAATATCTGCATCTGACTCTTTCAGCTGCTTGTTGGGTCTTCTGGAGGACAGTCATGATAGGTCCCTTTTTGTGAGTACTCCATAGTCTCAGTAATAGTGTCAGGCCTTGGGGCCTCCTCTTGAGCTGGATCCCACTTTGGGCCTGTCACTGAACCTTCTTTTCCTCAGACTCCTCTCCATTTCCAGATTGCGTAGGAGTTTTGAGATGAATAGATGAATAGAACTATCTGGATTTTTCAGACTTTAAATTAGAACCTTGTCATTTCTTTGACATTCATTAAGTATTTAGTGTGGTTTCCAGCCCAAGTAAATGTGTGGTTAGATATAAAGTGGTTAGATATTTAGTGCAGTGTGGGTGGCTATATAGTTATTCTTATAGCCTTATTCTTATAGTTCTACTTACAATTTTACTCTTAAATCATAATTATATCATTATTATAAATTATTGCTCTTTACTTCTGTTTGGTTTCTTGAATTTATGATTATAAATTCTTCATAATTTGTTGTTTGTTTTTGGAGTCAGGGTTTCTCTGTGTAGCCCTGGCTTTCCTAAAACTTGGTCTATAGCCCAGGCTGGCCTAGAATTAATAGAGATCAACCTGCCTCTGCCTCCCAAGTACTGGGAGTAAAGATGTGCACCAGCACCGCCTAGCTAGAGGTTTTTTTTAACTATTGGTATAAACTTAAAATTTTCAATATGATGGGCTATTATTATTTAGAGTTTTATTTTAGTGGTTTTAATGATTATATTCTGAGAATAAACATTGAAAGTGTGAATAAGTAGTTCTATATACATGTCATATAGTAAAAAGAGAAAAACAGTCACAGTGCTTCTGATGACACAGAAGTATGTCAGTTTTAACACAGCTTCAATAAGATGGAGTGTCACACTGTGCTGTGGAAATGTCTCAGTAAAAGCAGGAGAACCTGAGTTTGGATCCCCAGCACCCCTGAAAAAGCTGGATATGGCTGCTTCCACCCATCACCCCAGTGTTAATGTGTGACAGGTGGATCCTAGGCCAGCCAGCCTACCTAAGTGATAAGCTTCAGTCTGAATAAAAGGTCTGTCTAATAAAAATAAGGTGGAGCCAGTTGTGGCAAACACTGGGATATGCTGAATAGGCAGAGGCTAAGGAAGACAGAGGTACAAGAAGACACCAATATCTTCCTTTGGTCTCTACATGTACATGAGCACTTGTACCTTTATCCATATGCACATATCCTACACACACACAGACACACACACACACATGCTCTGATTAACACACTTTATGTGTCAGATGGAACATTTCTGAGCTTACATTTCAGTTGTAAATAAAATGAGCACTGTTACCTATTTACATGCTATTCCATTTCTCTGTTGTCTGTCCAAATTGAAAAACATTTTTTTTTAAAGATAAGGTCTTATTATATAACCATGGGTGGCCTTGAACTTACAGAGATCTGCCTGCTTCTGCCTTCTGAGTCCTAACATTAAAGGTTATATCAACTGGGCTGGAGAGGTGGCCCAGCAGTTAAGAGCACTAGCTATTCTTTCAGAAAACTCAGGTTCCCAGCACCCACATAGCAGCTCATAACTGTCCGTAATCTCTAATCAAGTTCAATGTTATCTGACACCCTCACATAGACATACATGCAGGCAAAACACTAATATGCATTATATATATATATCTCACATATGTGTGTGTTGTGTACCACCGTACTCAGTATCACTTTAATTTTTAATGTTTTCCTGTTTTCTTATTCTTTTAAATTTTTTACATTAGATAAATCAATACAAATTTAGTATTATACAATATTTTCATACAGTGTCCTTTCTACAGCAGAGATTAATCATCTCCCCAAATGTTTTAGGTTTTGGAAAAATTAGAGGTGACCTAAAACTAAAGCCCATGTGTACAGTGTGTCTTAGCTGTGTTATTTGAGTAACTTGAAGCATCTTGATTTTAAATTTTGTTCTGGTAATATAGAATCAAAGAGACCATGTATATTTAGTGATGTATGTGTATGTTTGTAACTAATTTTCAGGTCCAAATTGCTTAAGCCCTTGGAAGTGTCAAGAGTGTGATATGGCTGATTTGCCAAGTAACATCCTCCTTCACTACACAGGAAAGGTCAGAGGAAATGCCTGGGTTGTCCGTAATTGTAACTTCCATGAGCTCACATTGATGGTTTTATTCCTTCTGTCATTTCAGTGGGTAATTGGGAATGAGGGTTCAATCTTGAGGTTTTTTTTTTAAATTAGGGATTGTAAAAGGAAGTTGAAAAGCAGCAGAAATTAAGGCATACCTCCTCAACTAGAGTTTAGGTTATGTGTCATTCTAGTGTGTATTGGAATCATTTCTGAAATTTGTTCTGAGTTGGTTTTAGTGAATGAAACCTTTTAAACTTGTATTTCTCTAGTTATCTCAAGAGAGGTGAAACAGCAATACTCAAACTTTGGTTTACTTTTTAAAAAATGTGATGTTGAAGGGGGGCGGGGGAGATATTTTCTAAAGGATAGAAACACTTTGCAATATCTCTACCATGTCTAGCTCTTTTTCCTTCAAAAACTCAGTTAATGAAAGTAACAAACTAGCGAAGATGGAAGGAAAAAATATAAGGTACAAGTGGGAGGAAGAAAGCCATAAAGTGCCACAGGCAGCATTATTTGCCTTCATATATTTAATGTTACATTGGCACTGAAAGTACTTTTATTGTATGAGACAATATAGACAATATTTTTCTAGTTTAGCATACTATTTATTTGTTACATCTGACCTGATAAAATGAGCTTACTGGTTTTATGTTCTTCCAACTTTGTATTTTGATAAATTTCAAACCTTAAAAGTTAAATTATCCTGTATATTTCTTTCCCAAATTAGCCAATTGTTAATATTTTGTTGTATTTGATGACTTTTTTCAAGTCATTTTTACAAGTATATTGATATGACTATAAAACTTTATCCCTGAATATTTTTTACATAGTCTCTTACATAATTGAATATATCATCTATTCAGTTTTCCCTAAAAATACTTACTTAGCAAAAGTTAGTCTTGATCCAGTCAAGATCTATGTATTTTCCCAAACTGTTTGTTTACCTAACCATAATAACCTTCTTTCTTGACAACTACTAGTATTCTTTCTCCTATTTAGTCTCCAGTATGTAGCACAGATTCTAGGAAATAATTGCATCTAATCCAAGTGACATATTCTTTTCTGGTTTTTAATATTATGGTTGTTACCTTTTTACAAAGTAATTTTGAATTGGTGATGTTAAGACTGTATCTTTTGAGACTGACGTTTTAAAAATACATACTTTAGAAATTAGTGATTGCTTTACCGTTTTCCCTCAAGAAATGTGATTTATATGTAGATAAGTCAATTTATTGAAGGTTTGTTTCTCCAAAATGGTCTACTCAGGATACATGTCTAAGTCACGTGAGCTCATGCAGCTCTTGCATTCTTCACTTCCTTCTTGAGATTGATGATATGCTTTAAAAATCGTGCTGTGATAAGGATTCTGCTTGGTTTAATCTGTTTCACCAGTTTTTGAGCACTCTTTAGAAACAAGTCAGGCAGGTATTGACAAACGCTAATTGGTTAATGGTACTTTGGAAGAGTTTTCAGCTTTTCAGCCCTATCCTTATTTGTAGCAGTTGTTTAGTCATCTATTTCTTAACAAGTCAGTGTTTTCTTTGTGCCAAGAACTAAATGCAGTGACCTGCTTTTGATAAGCGAGTGCTTTAGATTTGGTCCTTGATATATATACTTTTAAGAGATATTAGTTAAAATATTTGATGTGTAACCATGAGGACCTAGGCTTGGATCCACAAACAGCTATATAAAAGCTGGACACTACGATGTGTGGCTATAAAACCCCAGTGTTGGAAGGTCAAAGACTGGTGCCTAGATTGCTGGCCAGTCAGTCCTAGCTAATGGTGAGCTCTAGGTTCAGTGAGAGATCCTGTCTCAAAAAAAAAAAAAAGGTAAAGAATGACTAATGACCTCTGGGACCTGATGTCTGCCTCTGGCCATCCAGATATACACCTGGTTACATGCCTCCACACAGAAAGAAGCAAATACACAACACAACACAGAGATAGATAGATAGATAGATAGATAGATAGATAGATAGATAGATAGATAGAGGTAGGTAGGTAGGTAGGTAGGTAGGTAGGTAGGTAGAAAGAACACGAAAAAGCAAATGCTGGGCATGTTATTATTGATTTTATTATATACTTTAAAAATTATGGTGAAATATTCTCTATGAAATTAAAGTTATGGTTTGTTCTGATTGCACTAAGGTGCTTGTTGTATTTTTCTTTTGTTCTTAGGCTTGCAAAAATTCAATTTGCCTTGACTTGTCTACTAACTGTTTACATGGAAGATTAACAGGAAACAAAGTAGTGAATTGGGACATTAAGGTAAATTAATAATATACATTGAGCATTGTAGTATAATTTAAATTTACTTTAAATTTACTTAAGTATAGCATATAGCTAGAATTTTTCAATAATAGGAACTGGACACAGGACATTCTGGAATCTGAGAGGAAGATGGAGAGGAGAGGGGCGTGTGTGTGTGTGTGTGTGTGTGTGTGTGTGTGTTTGTGTGTGTTTGTGTGTGTTTGTGAGCATGTGTGTGCGTGTGCGTGCGCTCTTGCATGTGCACACTGTTAGAAATCTATTGTCCTTCACCTGTTGTTTTGATTGAGCAGAAAGCTTGCCTTTTAGGCTTAGTAAGCTGGCTACTCAGTGAGCTCTTAGGATATCCCTGTCTCTGACTCTGTTTTCAGGCATTCCTGCCTAGAGTTTTCCATGGGTAATTGGGATTTCAACTCAGACCTTCAGGTTCTCATGCTTGCACATAATTTACCCACCGAACCGTCCACCTGCCCAGATTTTATCTTTTAAGCATCAGCAAATTGATATTAACAATAGGTCTCTGTTAAAATGTTATGCAGTGCTGGACATGGTAGTGCCTTTAATCCTGAGTGCCTTTAATCCAAGAACTCAGGAAGCAGAGAGAGACAGTTCTCTTGTTCAGCCTGGTCTTTTTAGGTAGTTCCAGGCCAGCCAAGCAAAGGCTGTATAGTGAGACCCTGTCTCCAAAAAAAAAAAAAAAAAAAACCAAGAAAACCCACCAGCCAAACAAACAAACAAAACAAAACCTTCAAATAAATAAGTAGATAATAAAATGTTATGCAGATTTATATTCTGAAGGATGAGTAAGTATACTAGTTGAGTGACTGGCTAAAACTTAATTACCTTTGTAAACTTTGTTATCCATCAAATCAACTCAAAAAATATGCTATGGTTTATAGTCATATGTAATTTGCACAGGTTAACTTTGTAATATTGGCTTTAAAAGACTAATTCTGTGTGTTATATATAGAAATTTACTTAAGTTATGCAGATCTGAAAAATCAGTCTTTAGTACTTTGTATTATAGCTATATAAATTAGCTAATAAAATATTTTGCCTACTGTGGAAGATAGTCAGAATCAGAATTATTAAGAGAAAGGCAGTTATATTTTTATGTTTAAGTAAAATTAAAGCCCCCATTCACAAAAATAAAAAAGACAACTGAGAAGGAAAATATTTGCCATCCAAAAGTTCAATTACTACCATAGAAAGAGCTCTTTAAAATCAGTACTTGTTATGTTCTTTTCCCCCAACACACACTGTTATCTTTTTATGTAATGGGCAAAGTGAATTTTAGATTATTTAAAGTATACAAAACAAAATAGCAGGTGTGTCATATGAATAGCCCTTGAAATGTCAGATACAGGTACAACATAAGGGACATTGAATTGGGAAGTTTCTATAAATTACTGTTTTATAGCTACAGTTGCGACAGGGATGAGATGAGGGATTGTTAATCTCCTCATCCCCTCCCCTTACCTTTCTGTTTCTCTTTCTTCCCTTTCTCTCTGTCTCTCTTCCCTTCCTCTCTTAATCCCTCTCAGTCTGGCCTTGAATTTGAAATGTTCTTGCCTCAGCCTTTTTATACTGGGATTACAAGGGTACAGTAACACATCAGAGTAGGTCTGAGTGTTTTAATGATTAATAAGAGTAACTTTATATAACATTGTGTTTTGTCAGGCATTAAGCACTTTTTATATTTTATCTTACTTTACCCATTCCATCTCTTGTTAACTAAAATTAGAGGAGTCATACTTCTGGTTCCTCACCTGTGTTCTTAATGCATAATTGTACAGTTGTGTGACAGTTGCTTGTTCTTGGCATTTTTAGAGTTACATTATATGTTGCGTATATTTGAACTTCCTAAAAAGCAAACACAGAAAAATGACCCAAAATGGTCTCTTTTGAATGTAAGTTATAGTTATCTTTGAGACTGACTGTGTAAGGATGCCTTCAGCTTAGGCTATCGCATATATTACTTAAGGTTTACTAACAAATTGAATCTTCATATACACTGTAGATGCTGAATTACACAATTGCTTGTATTTTGTAATATTAAAAATTGTTAATTTTTGTTTTCAGGACATAATCAATTGCATAGGTGGGTTAAATGTACTGTTTCCTTTACTGGAACAAATAAGCCACTTTAGTGAAGAACAGACTTCTGAAGCAATGAGTGAAAACACAGTTCCTGAATTAATAACACCTGTTGAACAAGAATGTATGGGGTTTGCCTCCACAAAGGCATCAGGTAATAAAATTACATTGACCCCACCCAGATTAGTTATTTAGGAAGTTGAGAATTGGGCTGGAGAGATGACTCAGGGGTAAAGAGGACTGACTGATCTTCCAGAGGTCCTGAGTTCAATTTCCAGCAACCACATGCTGGATCACAACCATCTGTAATGGACATGCAGTGCCACCTTCTGGTGTGTCTGAAGACAGCAACTGTGTACTCTCATACATGAAATAAATAAATAAAAAGAAAGTTAAGAATTAGTTAGAAAATAAAATGCCATAACAATTATTTATAGCTGTTGTAGCTTCCCTTAGTAAGTTTGTAATACTTTGGTTAAAACATTGAAGATAGTAATTTTACTTTTGACTATGTTTAGTTTATACTCTTAGTGGGAAAATACTACACCATATTGTGTTAAATCATAGTACCAAGAAAATATTTACATATGGATACAATTATATAGTAAATACTTGCTGCTTTTTCTGATTTCATTGTCCAAATAAATCTTGGAAGCAAGCTAACAAGTTGACATACTTCTTTGTTGCAGTGATGTAAAATATGTGATATAACTGTGATAAGAGTGATTATGATAATGACTTTTGCCTGTTTTCACAGAGTCAAGGCTGGAGAAAAATCTAATTGCAACATTTATTTTGATTGTGAAACACTTTATTCAAAGACATCCTATTAACCAGGACAATCTTATTCAGTCCCATGGAGTTTCAACTCTTGGTGCTTTACTTCAGAAGGTAATCAAGTCTAACATGGAGCTTTCAGATAAGCCCCAATCTATAAGGAATAATTAAAGCAAATCTCAAGGCTACTTTGATTGGAAGCCTAGTGTATATACCAGGATTTGGCCTCTCTCCTAAGTTTTTTTGTTTGATTGTTTTTTGCTTTATTTTTTTTTTGTTTTGATTTTTTGTTTTAAACTTTGGTAGCTGCTGAAGAGACGCCATAATAAGAGGTTTTGGAAAGGCAGTGGAAGCATTCCAAGAGACTAATAAATCCAGAGCACCACTTCACCATGGTAGAGTTTCTCATAGTGACAATGTTAGAAGGAAGGCTCCTGGCTCCTGATACAGAAGGCTGGTCATAGTGGTGCATACCTTCAATCTCGCATTTGGGATGAAGAGGCACGTTGGTTTCTGTAAGATTAAGACTGTCCTGGTCTGCATAGAGACAGCCAGCTACATAGTGAGCGTAGTGAGACCCTGTCTTTAAAAAGAAATGAAAAAATTAATTAAGAATCCTTGTATGGCCATTTCTTTTCTCTCTCTCTCTCTCTCTCTCTCTCTCTCTCTCTCTCTCTCTCTCTCTCTCTCTCTCTTTTTCTTTCTTTCTTTTTTTTTTTTGGTTTTTCGAGACAGGGTTTCTCTGTGTAGCCCTGGCTGTCCTGGAACTCACTCTGTAGACCAGGCTGGCCTCGAACACAGAAATCTGCCTGCCTCTGCCTCCCAAGTGCTGGGACTAAAGGCGTGCGCCACCACTGCCCGGCTGTATGGCCATTTCAAATAACCATTAGGCAGTTTGAAACATAGAAGACTGAAGAGACTGGGTGTGATGGTTCACAACTTTAAACCTAGCACTTGGAGGACAGAGGCAGGCGGACCTCTGAGTTCAAGGATACTGTTGTCTACAGAGTAAGTTCCAGGAAAGCCAAGGATACACAGAGAAACTTTTCTCAAAAAAATACAAGACAACAACAAAACAAACAAAACAAAAAGAAAAGAAAGAAAGAATGAATCTTACATACCTTGTCTGCAGATCCTACCACTGGAAGACTACCATTCAATGTCAGAGAAATTAGGAAATTATTGAAGAACTTCACTTTAAAATTACTGAGATTATTTCATGTGGCCAAGAATGAGAGTCTTTTATACAGCCAAATTAAGATCTTTTTCCAGTAGTGGTGTACAACATAGGGTCCTTTCCACTGCCAGTTGTTAATTTAGAATATAGGCTGTCTTAGGAAGACAGTTTATGAAGACCAGACTTTAGGCTACTGGCCAGATGAGGAAACATACAGAGTCATATTGAGAAGCTGATACTTAACAGGTTCCTATTCTAAGCCAGTATTTTATGATCAACCTAGGATGCCAGTATACAAAGTTTGTAGCCTGCTTTCTGGTGAACTACCAGTTTATAATTCTTTTGAACTTTTTTCTACAAGATCATTTTATAATGTCATTGAGAGACCTTACAAAGTTGATGTATAAGGCTCTAGTAAATGTCATTTTCTTGAGTTTAATTTACTTATCAGCAAACAGTTGTGGGAAATGAACACAGTCTCATCTACCTCATAGTGTTGTGAAGGGAAAGGTATGGTGGGAAGCCATGATTCAGTTAAGGATAATACCACTTACATTTGGCTGTAGCTTTCAGAGAGCCCTGGAAAGAGGACCTGTGAATGTGAGAAGATACATCCTTACTCCATGTGTACTGATTGGATCGGGGGGAATAATTCTTCTTTAAAGTTTTCTTTATTCTTATGTGCATCGATGTGTTCCCTGAATGGGAACTGGAGTTACAGACAGTAGTGAGCTGCCACGTGGGCTGGGAATTGAACTAGGTCCTCTGGAAGAGCAGCCAGTGTCCTTAACCTCTGAGCCATCGCTCTAGCCCCTTCTGGAGAATTTTCTAAGCTCTATCATATACTGGCTCATGATGGTTTGCAGCTTCTGTTTCTTCCTCTGTTAGATCATAAATTCTGGAGCTAAACTGCCTGAGCTTAAAACTTTTGCTAGATGAATTGTTTGAAGATGCTGTTTCTTTCCTTAGATTTACTGTCTGTAAATTGAGAGTGATAATTTCTTAGAGCTTCTGTAAAACTTTAGAGTGATAAGGCTCTTTGAATGTTTAAAAAAAAGGGTGTGACACAAGGAAAATATGATCGAGTGCTAAATCAGACTAAAGATTTAAGTTATTTATAGTTTGTACTATCTTTGATTCTGTATTTTTGTATGTTCTGAGTTATTTGGAGTTAGAGTTTCATACTATCATTTAAACTGACCTTTATGAAACTCTTTTCTGTTAAATTTTAGGTGCCAGGTTCTCTGATGGATGTTAATGTATTGATGGCAATTCAATTACTAATTGAACAGGTATCATTAGAAAAGAACACACTGTTGCTTCAACAAATGTATCAGTGTTTACTCTTTGATTTCCGTATTTGGAACCGTGGAGATTTTCCTTTTCGGATTGGTAAGACCAAGCTATCAAATAAAATATTATACAGTTGTTTTTGAAATATATGACCATTTGTGTGACTTTATTCCATTATGTTATTTTTATATGAACATTTTATTTTAGGCCATATACAGTATCTTTCTACAATCATTAAAGATAGCAGGAGAGTTTTCAGGAAGAAGTATGGTGTGCAGTTTCTCCTGGATACACTTAGGATTTATTATGGGTATGACATCTTTGTTTTTTCTCAGTTTAGCTTGCTATTTTCTGTCTGACAGTTGACTGAGTATGTATATAGCTTGTTCCCTTGTCCAGGAGTTCTGGAACTCTAAAACTTCAGACAAAACAGAGTAATGTAGAGGCTAAAATGATAGTGATATATTGACATTTATTAGCTTTGTATGTTGGTTTTGCTAGTTGTGTGGTGGTATTAAAATTGCTCAAACTGTCTGTATTTAAGCGTTTTCTGTATTTAAGCGTTTTAATCTGTCTAAAGCAGATTAAAAAGTGACTATGACCTATGATGATTTTGAGAATTAAATTAGTTAATATGTTAAGATACATACAACTGTCTGATTCTTATTATTATATTTTTATAGCTGCATAATGAATATTGTAATAATTTAGTTTTTGTCATTCAAACTCTTAAAATGTCCCTTAGTGTAAAAGAAAGAAGCTGTGCTACTCATCTGGTAGAGTACTTTTCTAAGAAACAGATTCATAGACACTGTGTTACTGCATGCCTGCATGCATTTGGGTATTAGAGGCAATAGGATCAGGCGTTCAAGGTCATTCTTAGGTCCATAGTAAGTTGTAGGTCAGCCTATGTAAAGTTAGACCCTTTCTTTAAAAAAATAAAAGAAGAAAAGAAAAGAAAACAAAGGTACTACAAATTGTAATAATATTAAAAGTGTGTGTGTATATTGTATACTGTATGTGTTCATGGGGTAGAAGGAGTATATGTGCACATGCTCTGGATGCCAGAGTTCAACTTCCAGTGTTGTTTCTGCTCCCTTTTTTATTTTTATTTTTTTGAGGCAAGGTTTCTTTGTGTAGACCTGCCTGTCCTAGACTGGCTCTCCTGAATGCTATGATTAAAGGTGTAGACACCATGCCCAGCTGTGGTGTCCTTTTTCTTGAAGCTGAGGCCACACCCAGAGACTTGTACATGCTAGGCAAGCACTCTATTGCTAAGTTAAATCTTTAACCTCTATGGATCCTTTTTTTCTTTAAGATTTATTTATTTTTTTAGTGTATGTACATACACTGTCGCTGTCTTCAGACACACCAGAAGAGGGCATCGGATCCCATTACAGATGGTTGTGAGCCACCGTGTGGCTGGGAGTTGAACTCAAACCTCTGGAAGAGCAGTCAGTGCTCTTAACCACTGAGACATCTCTCCAGCCCCTCTGGTATCCTTCTTAATTGTTCTCCATCTTGGTTTTTGAGGCAGGGGCTCTTATTAAAACTGGAAGCCATCTATTTGGCTTGAATGGATGTCCAACAAACCCTAAGAAACCTTCTATCATCCTTTTCCCAACACTGGCTGCCACTTTAGTTTTTTGAGACAGGGACTCTTCCCTGCCCTGTTGCTCACTATTTGGCTAAGGTATATAGTAGCAAGCCCCTCCCAGTCCTGGGACTGCAAGTGTATGCTACCATATCCAGCTTTTTACGTTGGTTCTGGGGAATGAACTCAGGCCCTCATGCTTGTGGAACAAGTACTTTATAGACTTTATGGCAAGTTCCTAGAAAGGTTTTGTTTTTAATTAAAAAAAAAATTATTTCTGTGTGTTGTGTATGGACAAGGAAATAGGCTGCTTGGCAGAAATATGACATTGGCCAAGGACAAAGAAGTAGGCTTCAGGCAGGAATCTGACATTAGGCTAGAACAAAGAAGTAATTTCAGACAGGAATCTAAATTTTAGGCTAGAACAAGGAAGTAGGCTTCAGATGTGAAAATGACCTTGGATTAGGACAGGGAAGTAGGCTCAGATACTTTGGTCATCCTGATAGGCCCTGATAAACTGATAAACAGTGATCACGAAAGTGTTCATGTAATTGGGTTTAATGCCTTGCTTGTTCTTTGACTATTTGTGTTTATTGTCTTGCTTGTTCCTTGACTATTTGCATCTATTGTACAGCTAGTTCCTCAACCTAGAACTGACCTTAATATATGCATGTAATTAAAATGGTATGAAAGCATAAAGGAGGAAGGAGGATGGCATAGGCGGTTCTAGGGAGGGGAAATGGAGAAAGGGGATGACATCTGTATTGTAAATAAATAAGATATCCAATAAAAAAGTATATGTGAAAAAAATAAAATAAAATGTTATATGGGTAAAAAAATACATTTATTTCTGTGTGTTGTGTATATGTGTCTGTGTGTGGGGTGTGTGTGTGTGTCATATGCCATGATATGTATGTGGAGTTAGGCCGGCTTGTGAGACTTGATTATCTCATACTACCACATGGGTCCCATGATGAGAGTCGGGTAATCAGTCTTGGTAACAAGTGCCTTTCTCCATTTCTTACTAGCCTTCATTTTTAACATCATGATTTAACAACATAATTTTTATATAAAATTATCAGCGAATTTGAATTAATATTTCAACTTTGACACTTTTGTTTTCTCTTTCAGGCATAGATCTACATGTAATGAGCTATCTCCAGATGATATTCGGACAATAAGGACTTCTTTGTATGGGCTAATTAAATATTTTCTTTGTAAAGGTGGAACTCATGAAGAAATACAAAGTATTATAGGTTACATAGCTGCTACTAATGAAGAAGAACAGGTAGTATAGCTGAGATGAATTTTATTTTTAACTGTTAAATTACTTGGTCATTTTATAAAGATATACTTAATTATCTAATGAATAATTTTTTTGGATACTGTCAAAATAATACACAGTTAAAGAAGTACATTGCAATTTCTATCTGGAAAGTAGTTGATATGACAAAATACCAGAGATGAGCTGTCATAAAGAGTAAGGGTTTCCTTTGGCTTATGATTTAATAGTTTTCCATCCTATTGTCATTTTGCCTTCTGCTTCTGAGACATTGAGTCAGAACATTTGACAGTAGAGCAAATCTGCTTCTTTTTGGCAATCAAGAGGCAGAAAGATGCTGTATAGGAAGGAGCCAGGGACAGGAGATAGCTTACAAAGGCATGTTTCCATTTATTATTTCACCCAATAATACCCAAAGGTAAGTATTCTCTTAACTTTGTATAGCCCATTATAATCTCCATTATATAGCCATTATAATCACAATAATGACTTACTAGTAATTAGTCAGTTGATGAAGTCACTGTCCTTATAATCTCATCACCACATCGCCTCCAGCTAGTGACCAAAAAAGCTTTCAGCACGTGAGTCTTTGAGAAAGACACTACATATCCAAGTCCTTATACGGTTGTTGTATGTGTCAGTTTTCCAGTTTTGTTTTCATAATTTTCTTGTGAGTATTACCTGTCATCAACTTGAGAACACACACACACTAATATTAAGCAATGCAGATGATATAATTATGAAATTATTTTTTTTAACCAAATAGAATCTATATAGTTAAGAGAAGTTAGCAGATAACTGAAACAAGAGTATGATTGTTTGTAAGAGAAAGATAAATGTAAGAGGTATTACAGGATGATTTTACATGTTGAAGAAACCAGAGTAGACCTTCTATAGAAGAGATTTCTTTTCATATGGACAAACGATGAAGGAATGGTTTCAGAGATTACTGAATATGTATAATGAAAGGCTATGCAAAAGGAAGTAGAAGAAAGAAAAGAGATCAGAGACAAAAAGCACGGTATATCAGATTTAGTTTAAATAGCTATTTCTAGCATTCGCTCTTTTGCTGCCTGCATACATAAATGATTTTTTTGTTTTGTGTTGTTTAACTTGAAAAGCTCTTTGGAATTTTGGATGTACTCTTAAGTCTTCTACGAACCAGTCCAACTAGAGGTCAGCTTTTCTTACTGATGTTTGAACCAGGAAATGCTGACATACTTTATGCCTTGCTGTTAAATCAGAAGTATTCTGACAAACTAAGAGAAATCATTTTTAAGGTACAAAAAAAAATCATCTTTATATTTTGGCATTTGTTGTCAGTATATGAATTTTCTGACTATCTATCTATCTATCTATCTATCTATCTATCTATCTATCTATGTATCTATCTATCTATGTATGTCTATCTGTCTACCTATCTACCTATCTATAAATATATATTCTATGACTAAATTATTTTTCGTACTCCTTTTGTTTCTTATATATTTTTCATGTTGTTTATGAATTTTAAAAAGTCTGCAATAGAATTAGAATATAGTTAAGCATTAGAGTGCTGGCTTGGCATGCCCTAGGCTTATGTCCCTCCTCTAAATCTACTACTACATCCAAAAGACAACAGCAGGGGTTGTGGGTTACCTAGATAAGCAAAACCATCAAAATAGCAAATAAAAATTAATATAATCAGATAAATCATCTCAGTGAACTAGAACCACTTGATCATATTGTCCTTAATATAAAACTTTTTAGTTCTTCTTTGTCATGCAGTAAATCTGTATAGTACATCAGAACATTTAACAGTAATAGCTGCTGTGATATGGGTCCCCCATAAGTCAAGCATTAGGCATTCTTCAGGTAGTAGTTTCCTCAGTCCTTATAGCAGTTTTATAAGATAAATGCTCTTATTATTCCTATATTATAGATGATAAAATTGAAGCTGAGAGACTAACAGCTCTATCAAAACACACACAATGCATTTTATTTTGCATGGAAACTTTAAAGACTCTGGGCCCTTGTGTGATACCACACATTTGAGCTTTTGTTATCTAAAAGTAAAAGATCCAGGCATACTTCTACCAGCTTTTTTTTCTCTTACTTAAATTCTCCTGGTGTTCTTTATTCTTTCCTGGCATTTCTTTTTACATTGTTATTAGAGTTATGTTATTAAGCATATTTTTAACAGTTTATGTTTTAATCACCTGTGTTTGAAATCACTAAGCTTTAGAAAACAAAGATGGGATAGAAGGTCTAAAGTGGTTTGTCTTGTGGGGTTGCTTTTGGCTGGTTACCAATGAGACTGCTCTTAGAAGAAGCATCTGCCCTCACTAGGGAATGTTTCTTTTAAAAATACTTCTTAGGGATTGTTTATGATATTCTGATACTATCCTTTTATAGTTTGTAAAAAATAACCTCTTTAATAACATTGCTCTTATTCCTGGAAATAATGCTATAAGGTCAGCCTTTCCTCCAAGTTTTAGATTTGAATTGCTTCACAAATGTTTTCTGTTCTTGAAAATTGGTTACTGTTATATAAATGAGTTAAGAATATTTTAGGCTGCATGTGATAGCACACACCTTCATCCCAGCACTGGAAGTCAGACAAGCCTGGTCTCTACACAGTGAATTCCAGGCCAGTCAGGGATATATATACAAATATCTTGTCTCAAAAAGAAATTTGATGATTATATAATATCTTGACACATGAACGTGTTCTTCATACCTGCTAACTGTATACACTACTCTTTCATTTGCCATAGAGTGTTAAGCATTATTTACACAAATACAAATACATTTCAGTACAATTTATTATTAGTGCTCCAAAATCTAATGTTTCTCTGCATTGAAAAGACTAATACTTTTTGTGACCAGGTCATGGAACAGATGTTAAAATGCACAAATGTTTATGAACGCAGTAAACATCGTATCCGTCTTAGAGAAGTTGGCTATTCAGGAATTGGACTCCTCCTTAATGAAGCACCAGTTAACACATCTCTTATTAAAAACCTTGTTAACCAAATCATTAATACCGGTAAGACTAGGACTGATAACAGTGTTGTGTTTAAGAAACTGGTTTTCCTGAAGCAGAGTCTATGCCAAAAGCTGCTGTCTGTCCATGGGATATGTTCTTCTAGCTGAGCTGTCTTGTCTGGCCTCAGTGGGACAGGATGCACCTATTCCCGAAGAGACTTAATGTGCCGGCGGTGGGGGGAGGTACCCAGGGGGCCCCTTACTCTTTCAGAGGAGAAGGGCATGGGGGAAGATTTTGGGAGGGGGTGAATGGGAGAGGGGGCACTGAGCGGGATGTAAAGTGAATAAATAATAAATATAAAATAAAATAATTGAAAGTCTAAAAAAACAAAAAATATTTTCAATAAAAAAATATATTTCAAAAAATAAAGAAATTGGTTCTTTCTGGGAGATTTTTTTTTAATGTCCTGTTTTAGGTTACTTTTAAAATTATCTGTTAGGATGTTCCTCAGATAATGTATTTCTGTCATTATTTTTTGATTTTCCAGGACATAGCTTTAAAGTAAGTGCCTACTGAGTAAGTAGCCACGTTAATGACTGGCTTTCTAAATAAGAAAGGGGCATTAAATAAAATATGTATAGAAAGATCTTAAAACTTTTAAAGTACTTAAAATTTTCAAGATAAAACAAAAACTAATTTGAGACATTTTCTTTCTAGTTTTGTGTAATAGTTTTTTTTTTTTTTATAAACTTAGCCATAAACTAGAATTTATGGCAGATGCCCTGCCTAGGTGGGGAAATTAAGTTCTTTATCTTGCTTAAGTGGTTTACTAAGTAGTTTATCAAGTCTCACTGATAATCCAAAATAGGTATATAAAAAGATAATAGTATTATATTCCTGTAGTATAGACAATATACTCAGGCAATCAAAGAAAGATAAGTTATTTAGGCTTAATTGAAGTATTATCGACCTGAAGTTTTTGGGGGAAATTTGAATGAACATAGCTCTAGTTCTCTTTGGAAAGTGAATAATTATTTCACCATTTATACAATAGTAGTAGTCTTATTTTGGATATCCATGGAATTAATTTTAACTTCTTTTTTATCATAGATCCTGTTATTAATTTCAAAGATCTATTATCTGTAGTGTATATCTGTCACAGAACACATGTAAATGTCAGAGTGGTCCTCTGTAGAAAGGTTAGTAAACTTTCAAGATAAATTTTTACAATAACATCCTCAAACTATGATAGTGTTTTTCATTGAGTAGTTTGCAACAGATGTAAGTTTTTTGTTTGCTTGTTTCATAAGAGTTACTATTTTTTAAGCAGTTTCAATTGGACAGGTTGGTGCATACCTGTAATTAACAACATGTGGGAGTCCCAGGCAAAAGGATCATAAGCTGGAAGACAGCCTATATAGTACAAGACTAGCTTAAACAATAAAATGTTTATTTTTTTTTTAAAAAACTAACTTTATGTGGTTATAAGAAATTAGTATGTCAGTTTTTGTTTTGTTTTGTTTTGTTTGTTCTGTTTGAGACAGAGTTTTTGTATAGCTCTGGCTGTCCTGGAACTCACTCTGCATAACAAGCTGGCCTTGAACTCAGAGATCTGCCTGCCTCTGTCTCCTGAATGCTGGGATTAAAGATATGCACCACCATAGCCCACTCTAGTAAATGTTTTATTAAAAGTATTTACTAAATACTTTTCTAATATATTTAAAATAATTTTCTAGTAAAGAGTTTTAGCTTTACTTATTTTTATGTAAATATTCCCTTTCCACAGTCAAACATTTATTACCATAAAACACAGTTCTCTACCAAAACCCACAGTGTGTGTAACCTTCCTTCGTACTCCTTCGTCATTCTTATTCTTTCCTCTCTTGATCTTCCCTGCTTTCTCCTCCATTTTCACTTTTGAGGCACAGTCTTGTTAAGTTTCTCAGCCATACTTAGAAGTTGTGGTCCTTCTTCAGTTTCCCAAGTAGCTGGCATCCACCACATCTATTTCCAGTTCTGGACATTTCTAATGGAAATATCATATTTCAAGTATCTGACTTCTTGAATTTATTTTTAAATTTTCATATTTTATTTTTGTGTGTGCATGTGTGTGTGTGTGTGTGTGTGTGTATAAATGTGAGTTATGTCTATGCTTCAGTGAGAAAGGAAATTAGAGGACAAGTTAGGGAATTTGTTTTCCACTATTTCTTTGTGGAACCTAGGAATCAAACACAGGTTTTCAGGCTTGGCATCAAGTGCCTTTTTCCAACTGAGCCATCTTATTGGCCCCCTAAGGTTCTTGTCTTTCCATGTTTTTATTAACATCTTCTAATGCATATCTTTACCTATTTATAGTAACACATCTCTAGGATATGAAATATAGTTGCTGCATCAAAGTGTGTTCATTTACATTTCACATTTTGACAGATTTTGCATATTATCTTTCAAAATAATCAGCAAATTATGTTTTCACATTGTTCTACATTAGCTTTACCTTGACACTGAATCTTAATGATTTGAAATAGATCATATGGGGCTGGAGAGATGGCTCAGCGGTTAAGAGCACGGACTGCTCTTCCAGAGGTCCTGAGTTCAAATCCCAGCAACCACATGGTGGCTCACAACCATCCATAAAGAGATTGGATGCCCTCTTCTGGTGTGTCTGAAGACAGCTACAGTGTACTCATAATAAAATAAATAAATAAATCTTTAAAAAGAAAAAAAAAAGAAATAGATCATATAAATTGATTCTTTTCTGTATGCAATTAGATTGAAATAGCTCACATTGATTGTACATTGGCTTTTTTTTCCATGTGTAACACATATAAATTAGTCTCATTTTTGAGTTATAAAACTGTGAGCAATTGTTTGTGAAGAAAAGTCTGAACTACTGGAAGAAAATAAATTGGGGGTTTTGCAGCACTGGAAGAATAGTAGCACCATGACAGGCTACCTTCCTAACGAAAAGCTTCACGCCGTTGCTACTTCAGTTTTTACTAGCATTGCTCATCCCTTCTATAACACTTGTCATTGGAATTCATTAGAAAACAATCATATAGTCAAATATATAGAAATTTACTTGCTTTGTGATTAAAATACCTTAAAGATCTTTACCAAATTTCTGACTGTTTCTAAAAAACTGTTTTGTTGTTGTTTTTAAGACAGGGTTTCCTCTGTGTAGCCTTGGCTGTCCTAGAACTCACTCTGTAGACCAGGTTGTTCTTGAAACTCATAGAGATTTGCCTGCCACTGCCTCCCCAGTACTGAGATTAATAGCATTCACCACTACCACCCAGCCAAGAACTAATTTTTTATTTCAAAGAAGGAACTTGTTTAGCAAGAATTCTTACATACTGTAATGTGACTATTTATTCTTTAACTTACTTAAGCTAAATAACAGTATGCATCTTGCTGAAATTAATTTTTTGGAATTAAAGTGATTTATCTACTTTTTTGTTAATACAGACTTACTAAAGAAATATTCTTCAAAAGGAGTTATTAACTTGACTTGAAAAAAAATTGGAAGTAGAAAACATTCTCCTTAGAGTACTTGGGGTCTGTACTTGTGTGCCTTAGCTATAATACTGTCCAAGCATATGCCTGGCACATGTCAAGTCATTCAATAATTCTTGCTGAACAAGTGTAAAAAGCTCATGAAAATTTTGATTAAGATAATGATCACGTTACTACACTTTATGCATATTGTCATTTATTAATATTTTATCTCTAATTAACATCTAGCTTAGTTTTTGAGAATCATTTTAATTTTTGTGTTCTTTTAGCACATATTTTAGTACATCTTTACTTTGTGCAAGAGCAATACCAGATCAGCTAGAACCACAATATCAAATAGTTCCACATACTATAATGCTAGTTAAGAACATACTCCTCCATGATAAAGATGAATAAGTAGGTAAGAATGCTTGCACAAACATAAGGAACTGAGTTCAAATCTCCAGTACCCATGTAAAAAGCTGTGTGTTTCTATGTATTCCTGCAACTTCAACATTTTAGAAGCTAGAGACATAAGATAGCTAAGGGTCTCTGGCCATTACCGTAGCTCCAGCTTCAGTAAGAGGCCCTACTTGAAGGGAATGAGTTGAGGAGTGATAGAACAAAACATTCACTATTCTTCCCTGGCCTCCATGTATATGCACACATACTTCACATACACCATGCACACAGATCAGAATCCTAAAGTATCTCATTGTTTCTCATTGAATGACTTTGTTATGAAAGTAACTGAAGAGACCTTTTCATTAGGAAATTGTATACTTTTAATGAATTTTGTATTTTTTGTTGTACTTTTTTGTTTCGTGTTCTCTTTGCAGATATTACAGATTTTGCAGTCCCAGCCAGATGCAGCATACCAGATATCACAACAAGTGGGTTGGCAAGACACCTTTGTTAGACTTTTCTTAAAAGCAACTTTTGAAAATGTAAATTCTTTTAACAAACATGGGAAGACAGTTTCAGTGAAAGAAAATAAAAATACGTCAACCGAAGATGTTAAGAGGAACTTTGAAAAACTTGATGATGAAAAAATGATATTAGCTGATGTATCTTCAGACCATTGGAGTTTGGATGATAGTCAGTCCCTGAATTCAAACACACCATTATTTCAAGAAGATAGCTCTGAAGGAGAATTATCTTTCAAGTCAGAGAATCAAGAAGAATTCTGGCATAGTAACACTTCCCATCTGAGCTTAGATCTCAGTGGACTTGACGTATGTGAACTGAGCGATGGTGGAAGTCAAGTGCCTGACAGCTCACCTAGCACCCCATCCCCGGTAGAGTCTACTAAGTCATTTTCAGTGCAGTCTGACAAAGAAAGAAGCATCACAAACGAAATGGGCTTCAGTGATGACTTCTCTTTTTTTGAAAGCCAAGAGGTAAATTTGCTTTCCAAATAAGATTGTAATATGCTAGTTTTATACTTAAGTACTTTGCAGTATGTAAACTGACTGATATTTTCTATTCATATTCTAAGTCTTGTGATCTAAAATTTAGAAGGGTGATTGTCACTTGTACATAATTTACTTTTTGTTTGGTGTGTGTGTATTTTTTTATACATGTATGGTAATGGGGAATGAGCATATTGACTTGCACATGTTAGGTTATTTTATATTGTATGTATGAATATTTTGCTTTCATGTATGTATCTGTGCCGTGTATGTGCCTGGTGCTTGTGGAGGTCAAAAAAGGGCATTGGATGTCCTAGAACTCAAGTTACAGATGGTTGTGATCCATTATTTGGGTGCTGAGAAGTGAACCTTGGTCTTTTGCAAGAACAGTAAATGCTCTTAACCACTGAACCACCTCTCCAGCCCACCGTTGCTGTCTTGAGAACAAAGCCTGCATCTTCCACATGTTGCGTCTCCATTCAATAAAGACGTGTTAAAAGTTGGGCAGGAGAAGTAGCAGTTAAGAGCACTTGCTGCTTTTCCACAAGGCCTGAGTTCCATTTTCAGAATCACATCAGGCAGCTCACAATGATATGTAACTCTAGCTCTAGGAGATCTGACAGCTCTGGCCTTTTTGGGCAGCTATACTCAGGTGCACATACCCACATGCAGACACATATATCCACACATAATTAAAAACAATAACAATTTAAAAAAATGTTTAAAAGTGTCTCACATAAACAGTAGGTATATGTAGATAGTTCTATAATGTATTTTAACATTTCCTTCACCTAATAATATAGTATTGTTTAATGGTTTTTATAGAAATGTGAAGAAGAACTTTTTCAGCTGCTTACAAATATTTTGAATTATGTCATGTGTAAAGGACTAGAAAAGTCTGATGAAGACACTTGGATTGAAAGGGGACAGGTGTTTTCAGCACTTACTAAACCAGGAATATCAAGTGAGCTGCTTCGACCCTCAGATGAAGTAAAACTAACGTGAGCATTCAACTAATTTTTTCCAGCCTCCTCCTTGGAATGAGTGGAAGTCTAAAATTAAATACTGACAATTCAGTATGTAGTAGAAGATGAGAGGCAAAGAAACTGCTTACTTTTTTTCTTCCTAGGTTTTACTATTCTGGTAGAATGTAGAAAGAAGCACAAAACAAATCAGTGTCAGGAGATTAAATGTACTTGAATTTAAGTGATATCAGGGGTGGTGCAGATGGACCATACGGGTGTTCTGTTTCAGATTTCTGAAAATCCTCCACACTGATTGCCATTGTCAGTAGCTTCCCTTCTCAGCAGCAGTTTCGGAAGGTTCCTCTCACCCCACAGTCTCACCACTGTTTGTTGTTGTCTTTTCTCTTGAGGAGTCTTTCTGACTCTGGTGAGATGGCATCTAAAGCAGTTGTTCTTTGTGTCTCCCTGATAGCTAAGGATGGTGAACACTTTCTAAATACTTATTGAACGTATTCTTTGGAGAGCTATCAGTTTACTAAGTCGTTTCTCACTGGATAACTTTTGGGGACGTGGGTTTAGTTTTTATAGTTGTTTATATCTGAGATACTAATCCTGTCTGATTTTTGTTGACAATGATTTTTTTCTTATTCTGTAGACTTTCTCTTCACTATAGGATTTTTTTTTCTTTTCAGAATTTAATTTCATGTTTTTCCATTTGTCAATTCTTGGTATTATTTTGTTTGCTGTTGGAGTCTTTATAGGAAGTTCTTACCTATATCTTGTATTTTCCTATATGATTTTCAAACTATCAGGTCTTAAATTAAAGTCTTTGACCCATTTTCACTTGATTTTTATTCAATACGAGAGATGTAGTTTACAACAATTTTATTGAGTGTCTTTGTGTTGTATTCATTAAAGAAATCTTATGTGGCATTTAATATTACTGACAAAAGATCTGATTCTTTTGTTTAAAACTTTCTACCTTTGTAGATGAGTTGACATTTTTCCCATACAGTTTTTAGTATTATGTCTTTGCTTTGAATTTTTTCCTTCTTGACTATAATGTGTCCTAGAGATATTGTTCATTGATCTTATCTAGTTGAGGCTTTAAATCCTTTCCTGTTTGGAGTCTGTTTTTTTTGCTTTTTGTTTTTTTTTTTTTTTCTAGATTTGGAATGTTTTCTGCTGGGATTTTATTGAGTAGACTTTCTTTGTCTGACATGCTTATCTGAGCTGTTTCTGTCCTGCTGGATTCTTAGGTTTGCTTTTATAATGATGTGTAGAGTTCTTGAACACTGTGTTCATAGTAATTTTTTCTTTATTAATACTTGAATGTATCCCATTGAGCTTATTCTCAATTCATGATACTTTTTCCTTTCTATGTGTTTTGGTATGAATATGTATTTATACAGGAATATGTGCAGATATTTGTGCACATGTATGCATATGACTTTGGAAGTCAACTTCAGGTATCATAGTCCTCTAGCGTTGTCTACCTTATTTTTTTCTTTCTTTTTTTTTATTGGATGTTTTAATTACATTTCATATGTTGTCCCCTTACCCCATCCCCCACCCACCCAGGAACCCCCTTCCCCTCCCCCCCCCCCCCTCCTCTTTTTGGGTTTAACCCTCCCCTCCCCCCCCCCCCTCTCACCTCCCCACCCTCAAAATTCCCACCCCCTGGGGCGTCCAGCCTTCACGAAGTCAAGGATCTCTTCTTCCACCTATGCCCAGCAGGGCCCTCCACTCTTACGTATTCAGCTGAGGCCCTGGATCCCTCCCTAAGTGCTCCCAGGTTGGTGGTTTAGACCCTGGGAGCTGTGGTTGGTTGGTATTGTTGCTCTCCTCATGGGGCCACAAACCCTTTCAGTTCCATTGGCCTTCATTCTAACTCCTCCATTGGGAACCCCATTATCAGTTCAATGGCTAGTTGTGAGCATCTGCCTCTGAATATGTCAGACTCTTGAAGACCTCTGAGGAGACATCCATATCAGGCTCTTATCAGCATGCACTTCCTGACTTCCACATAAGCATCTACCTTTGGTGACTGCACATAGGATGGATACTCAGGTGGAATGGTCTTGAGACGGCCCCTCCTTCAGTTTCTGTCCCTCACTTTGTCTCCATATTTGCTCCCTTGAGTATTTTGTTGCTCCTTCTAAGAAGGACCGAATCAACCCCACTTGGTCTTCCTTCTTCATGAGCTTCTTGTGGCCTGTGAGTTGCATCTTGGGTATTTCAAGGTTCTGGGCTAATATCCAATAATCAGTGAGTGAATACCAGTCTACCTTATTTTTAAGACAGCATCTCTTGGGGTTCTGGGGCCCTCCAGTTAAGCTTAGCTATCTGGTCAATAAGCCCCAGAGATTCCCATCTTTACCTTTCCAGCATTGACATTATAAGCCATTATAAGCATGTGCCACCATGCTCTGTATTTTATGTAGATCCTGGGAGTTGAAATCAGGTCCTCATACTTACATGGCAGACACAACACTTTACTGACTGAGCTGTCTCCCCAGTCCCTCCACCTGTATAGTACTGCCCAATTATAACCACAAAAATAATGAAAAACAATTAGATGAATACACAATGGAAATAAAAGTATAAAAGCATCCATTTAAAACATAATAAAGCAGGCACAAGATTTAGAATACTCTATAGTTTGTATACACGCACACACATACACTACTATTAAGTATGGAATGTTGGCTGAGTTTGTACTTGTATACTAGTTTGGACTAGTGTAATCTGCATAGCAGATCTGTCTTCATTGTGGTCATTTCCCTTCTTTGTGTACCAGGAACCTCTGTTGGCCGGTTTCCTTTGCAGTCCATGGACTAGGCAGATTCCATTATCCTGAGGTTACCCAGATAGTACCCTCCAGTGTAACTCATGCTTTGGCTGGGATGTAGCTCCCAAGTGTGTTGAGAATGTGTATATGTGAAGCAACCACAACCCATGGATCTGTACCTACTGATGTCCTGTCTTGAGTCTTGACCTCCTGGAGGGATGTAGTTGAAGGTATTAAGCATACTGCTTGATGACTGGGAGGTTGATTTTTAGTGGCATCAAACTCTGGGGTTGTTCTCAGTTGATGAAATCCACTTCCAGCCTCTGAGGATGGGGGTGTCTTTTTCTTTTGACTTCTCTTCCTATTCTGACCTTCTTGCCGAGTGAAATGTTAAGCTTGTTAGTGTCTGATGTTCCTGCTCTCTCCAGTTTCTCACTAAGCCATCTTTCACCTTGTGGCTATAGCAGGCTTATTAAAGCTTTGTAACTTTGGCCTCAGGTCCTCATGGTAGCTCAGGATTTTTTTTTTTTTTAATCTTTGTTTTTGTCCTCCCAACCCCAACCCCAAAAGGGCCTGCCTGTATAGTATTGGCTGGCTGGGAACTCACAGAGATCCTCTTGCCTCTGCCTCTGCAGTACTGGGATTAAAGATTCACACCACCATTCCTGGAGGTAATTCAGAGGTAACAGGAGATTCTCAGGTTGGTCTGCTCACTGCCCTGTAAGTCAGAGAGAGTAGCAGGGATGTTTCTTTCACTGCTGACTCACTCCTTAGAGAGATCACTGTCTCACCTAAGCTTGCAACTCTAGTTGAGGAGCGTGAAGGCCGTGGGCTTGTCCTTAGGGTAAGGCTGCTCATCTCTTGCTGGCTTAATTTTGAAAGGCAGAGTCTGCTTCCTCTCCCCTAGCAGAGGTCTCAGAGCCTGCAGCTATGTTCCTTGTCTTTTCCTCCACAGTTTCCAAGTAGCCTTTTTCAACCTCTGTTGAGTTCTCATTTTCTTCTATTTCTTTCTTTGGAATAGTCTCTTTCTTGTCTTATTCCTACTTTTTGTTTCATACTACATCACACAGAAGCAGCCTCCATTTTACCCAGAAGTCCTCTATCTACAATCTTAGTGGCAGCCTGCTGGTGAGAGTGTATCTTTGGATTTGCAATGTTACTAATAACTAACAAGTTTGGGGATTTTCATTTTTCTTTCTAAGCTTATAATGGTATGTGAGAATGGTTTTTAAAGAACTTTATTTTGCACTTAGTTTGCTACAGAAGATGTTAGAGTGGGCAATCTCAGAAAACAGAGATGTAAAAAGTAGTCCTGTAACTGCTGAAAATGCCTTCCGACTCATGTTGATCATACAGGACTTTCTGCAGTCAGAAGGATTGGTTAATTCAAACATGTGGACTGAGAAGGTTAGTAATTGCCTTTTGAAATTGCATTTTAGGGTTTAATGTAGTGGCTGAAGCCTGTGGTTTTTATCACTTATGAGGGCAAAGCAGAAGGATTATTACAACTTGAATCTAGTTTGGGCTACATAGACAGTTCCAGGTCAGCCTGAGCTACAATGTGGTGATATGCTGTTGCAAACAAAATGAAACATAAGTAGCTAAATACTTTAGATAGTTCAGAATTATTTAAAGAATGAAAATTGCAACACTTCTTTTTGGAACTTTAGTGTTTAATCAGATGTAGTAACATACTTAAGATGAAGAGTCAGGAGGTTTTGTTAGTTCTTCCATGGTTCTTGTTTCTTGGCAACTGCACAGTGAACCACTTCAGCAGTGATGACGATTGGTATTGTTGTTGAAGAAAGATTATCATTACATTTTAAAAGTGAACACTTTTGTTTCTCAATTTTTCTTTTGTGATAGCTTTTAGAAGATACCACGCAGCTCCTTGACTGCCTGTCAGTATGGTATTCTGAGAATCCAGTGTGGGTAAAACTCTCTCAAATTCAGATCCAGTTGCTTCTAGAATTCATCGGAAGAGGCAGTTTGCAGGTTTGATATTTCTTTCATGCTATGTTCTATCTTCTCACACCACATAGCTGCTAATATTGTAACTAGATAATAATGCCTTTTCAGGAATTTTAAATTATATTGTATTTGTTTATTTTATGTGCCTGCATTGTGCACACATGTTCCATGGAGGTGAGAGACCACCTGTGGGGGTCAGTTCTTTGAGTCCACCACATGGATTTTGGGATCAAACTCAGGTCATGAGGCTTTGTGGCATACACCTTTACCTGTTGACCCATCTCTCAGACTCCTTGTTCAGTACTTTTTTTGGGGGGGGTTCCAAAAAATACTAAATCACTTGAAATTTCAATTTTGTAAGATAAGAAAGGAGCTTAAGAAGCAGCTTTTTTCCCCTCAGTTCTAGGATTATGTGTGATTTTAATATTTTCTTTTATTGGGCTTACTCATAGGTCATCTACATTTAGTATAGTTTACTAATCGCTAAGTAGCCAGTAGAGAGATTTGTGTATGTAAAGTCTAAGAATTGTATTTTTAGGAAAAATCATTTATAATAATTTTCCTGTTTTACTAATTTTAACTCTTTTCCTGTTTTACTAATCCAAATTTTAACTCTTTATACATTTGTTCATTTATCAAACACCAATTATGTACATGCTATTATGTACATTGTTTTGTTATGTGCATTGTTTTGCTAGATTTTATGTATAAGTGTATAAAATTATGTACAAAAACAGAAAAAATTATGTATATTGTTTTGCTAGATTTTAGAACTAAAGATAAAATATGTAAAATATTAGAAAATTGCTCTGCCATTTGGTCTGTCATTTCTCTATTCTCATTAGGTACTTTTAGTCCTGATAAACTTGATATCTATTTACTTCTGTTTATGTGTGTGTGTGTGTGTGTGTGTGTGTGTGTGTGTGAGAGAGAGAGAGAGAGAGAGAGAGAGAGAGAGAGAGAGAGAGAACATTTGTGTCACAGCATGCCTGTGGAGGACAGAGGACCAATTTGGGTGGTGGTCCTCTACTTCTACCTTTATTTGGAGCAGGACTTTTTGCTGTTTACTGCTTTATATAGCAGTGTTAGCTGACCTGTGAGCTTCCAGGGCTTTTCCTATCTTGCTTTCTCATCATGCTATAGGAGTGGTGGAATTACAGTCAAGCACTAACGTGTACAGCTTTTATGTGGACCCTTCAGATTCAAACTCAGGTCATCATGCTTGTATGGCTAACATTTTATTTACTGAGACATCTCCCTAACCCTGTTTTCTTTTAAAATTCTATTTTATTATTTGATATAGGGAAATTCAGGATGAGGCTGAATTCTAGTGCTGTTCCTAAACTCAGTGTAATATTGTTAAGAGTATGGAGACATTAAATTTTTAACATAAGGTTGGCCTATTAAAACCAATCTTTAATGTAATGGTTGTATTCTGATTCCTTCTCCTTCCTCAAACCCTTTCTCATTTGCTCTTTCCTCTTCAGTGCTAGAGATCAAATGGATAGTAATTGGGACTTCTCTTTTGAATATGTATTAATTGCCTTAGGAAGTTTAAGGTTAATTAAATTTCTAGTTAAGGACCCAGACTTCTTATATATCTTCATATATCCAAACAGTTATGACATCATGTAACAAACCACTAGAACAGACTTTATTACATTTTTTCTCTCTCACCACACTGCCTTACACCTTAAGAATGGAAATGGCTGCAATGGCAGTTGGGCCTATTTTTACTTCATTTGTCCCCAAAGTTATCTAGCGCTGCTTCCTATAGTCTTTGTTGGTGGATAGCTCTCCACTGGTCTGTTGTGTTGCTGTTTATTGTGTGATTGGCTGCTCTTGTTTTCTGTTCTTCTGTTTTAATTGCTTTTATTTGGGGGTTTTGTTTATTTGTTTTGAGACAGGGTCTCTCTATTTAGTCCTGGCTGTCCTGGAGTGTTTTTGTTTGATTGGTTTTGAGATGTAGCCCTGGATATCCTGGAACTCACTAAATAGACCAGGGAGTCCTCAAACCCACAGAGATCTGTGTACCTGTGCCTCCCAAGTCCTGGGATTAAAGATGTGAGCCACACACCTGGATATCCACTCTTTTTTGAGTTTTTTTTATATAGTAAACAACTTTGAAAGATAGAAGTCATGTTTCTTTCCAAGCGAAGGGCAAGTTTTTGGCTGGCATCATAGATTAGGTGAAAACCCACTATAAAGTACTGAAGTCGCCTAGACTTGTTTCTTTCTGAGCCACCACTCCATGTGCTGATGTCTTCTAGTTTTTAATCTCACTTAGAATTGGAGTTGAGACGTCAGTTCAAATGATGATAGAGTGCTTACTAAAATTTTGTAGGTCTTTCTTTTACCAACTGGTTTCATGTTTTTTACCAATGTATGAAACTGTAACACAGTTGTTAGCTTAGAATTAAAGCAGATTCATAAGTATTTTTAAAATCATTTTGTCATTTACATTTTGAATGATATCCTCCTTCCCAGTTATCTCTCCACAAACCCTCCATCCCACCTCCTTTTTTCCCCCTCCCCTTTGCCTCCATGAGGGTGCTCCTCCACCAACTCACCCACTCCCAACTTCCTGCCCTGGCATTCCCCTGCACTGGGGCATCAAGCCTCCACAGGACCAAGGGCCTCCCCTCCCATTGATGTGAGATAAGGCCATCCTCTGCCACATGTGTAGCTGGAGCCATGGATCCCTCTATGTGTACTCTTTGGTTGGCGATTTAACCCTGGGAGCTCTGGGGGGTGGGGGTGGGGGAAATCCAGTTAGTTGATATTGTTCTTCCTATAGGGTTGCAATCCCCTTCAGCTCCTTCAGTCCTTCCCCTAGCTCTTCCACTTGAGTCCCCAGGCTCAGTCCAATGGTTGACTATGAGTATCTGCATCTGTATTGGTCAGGTGCTGGTAGAACTTCTGAGGGAACAGCCATACCAGTATTTTTTTTTTCAGTCTTTCATGTGATTTTATTTTCTCCCTTTAACTGTAATATGATACCCAAACTTTGTCTTAACTGGTGGGTCTGTAAACACAGGCTTATCCATCCCACATAGAATGTGTCTGATCTTTCCTGCATTCCCACCACCATTAGAGCCCTGAGAGTTCTGTTTTTGTTTTTCGAGACAGGGTTTCTCTGTGCAGCCCTGGCTGTCCTGGAACTCACTCTGTAGACCAGGCTAGCCTCGAACTCAGAAATCCGCCTGCCTCTGCTTCCCAAGTACTGGGATTGAAGGCGTGAGCCACCACTGCCTGGTGCGCTGAGAGTTCTTGTCAGCACTGTCACTTCCTGAGGCTGCACCTCCTTTCCCGCCTTTCCAGACCACCTTTCTCCTTCGGCAGCATCTCTTAAGCTTGCTGTTAAACTCTCAGTTCATAACTATTGACAGCTAACTCATAAAGCCTGTGAACTGCTAGAGTGAGACAGATCTTTTGCTAATATTAAGTGTTTGTTTTAGTCTGCTGGTTTTTCATCTAACCTGTTTTCTTCCAGGTTTGTGCAATGGCATCAGCTAAGCTCAATGCTCTTCTTCAGACCAAAGTGATTGAAAATCAAGATGAGGCATGCTATATTTTAGGGAAACTAGAACATATTCTAAGTCGATCAATCAAGGAGCAGACAGAAATCTACTCATTTCTGATTCCCCTTCTCCGGACTCTGGTTTCTAAAATTTATGAGCTTCTTTTCATGAACTTGCACCTGCCTTCTTTGCCTTTTACTAATGGGAGCGCTTCATTTTTTGAAGATTTTCAAGAATACTGCAATTCAAATGAATGGCAAGTTTACATTGAAAAATATGTAAGTCTTAAAATGATTTTAAATGATTTGTTTACGTGTGTGCAGTCATGAGTGTGTGCATGTGTATATGTGGGTGTGTGCTTCATGCATGCATGAAAGCTAGCGTGTGAAATCCCTCGGAGCTCGAGTTGCAGGAGTGTTATGTGAGTGCTGGGACCTGAACTCCAGGCCTTGTGCTTGCTCCCAGCAAGTACTCTTAACTGTGAGCTGTCTCTCCAGTCTCAGAGCTTTATCTTCTCTGGCAAGACTTTTCTGTTGATTTATCATTTTTATAGAGGAATGTGTAAATTCTTTGTATTCTTTTTTTTTTTTTAACTAAGATTGTACCTTACATGAAGCAGTATGAAGCACATACATTTTATGATGGTCATGAGAACATGGCACTTTACTGGAAAAATTGTTACGAAGCCTTAATGGTGAATATGCATAAAAGAGACAGAGAAGGAGGAGAAAGCAAGCTGAAATTTCAGGTAAAAACTATTCAGTGTTTACTTTTTTTTTTTAACAGACTAATAAATCCTTTATTCCAGGATATAGAAAGGATTCTATCCTTTATACTTAGCAGAGTGAATTGGGACAATATAGGCATATGATCATATCAAAATCATACAAGAAAAAACAGGCCTAATACTTGAGTGAGTATACCAGTCAAAAAAGGTGTGCAACCCTCTAATCTGAATCCCCTAAGAAAGACATTTAATACTCTGATACAAGTGGCCTCCACCAACCAGTCATGTAGCAACAATTCTTGTGCATATATTATTTTTTTTAATTTTTTTATTGGATATTTTATTTACATTTCAGATGTTATCCCCTTACCCCATCCTCCCCTGCCCAGGAACCCCCTATCTCATCCCCCATCCTCCTGCTTCTCTGTGGATGTGCCCCTACCTACACTCCCACTCCCACCTCACCACCCTCGAATTCCCCCACCCTCGGCGTCCAGCCTTCATGGGACTAAGGATCTCCTCTCCCACCTATGCCCAACAGGGCCATCCTCGCTTAAATACACAGCTGGATAGTCCGTGTTTTCTAACTCTAGTTGTTCACGTTGGATAGAAGCATTAAATTAAATTTAGGTGGAATAATTCCATTAGAAATTTGTAAACACACATACTGAAAAAGTATTTCATAATTAGGATGAAAACAGTTGCTCAATAACCATTTTAGCCAGGTGGTGGTGGCACACGCCTTTAATCCCAGCACTTGGGAGGCAGAGGCAGGCGGATTTCTGAGTTCGAGGCCAGCCTGGTCTACAGAGTGAGTTCCAGGACAGCCTGGGCTATACAGAGAAACCCTGTCTCGAAAAAAAAAATAACCATTTTAATATTAAGACATGCTGTGTAATGATTATGTCAATTTATAAATTATATAAACTTGTTAAGATAAAAATCTATTAATAGATACTGCTAAGGTATCTTGATACATCCTTCATATTAATAAATTCAATTAAAGAATTTAAATGTAAAGTTATTTTGTTTGTTTGCTTGTTTCTGTGTGTGCTTGAATACACGTTTGTGTCTGTAGATGTGCAGGAGTCCTGAGAGGTCAGAAAAGGACATTGAATCCCTGGAGCTAGAGTTACAGGTAGTTGTGAACCACTACTATGTTGGTGCTGGAACTGTTGAACCTGGTTCTTCTTTAAGAGTAAGAACCACTCTTAATTCCCAAGCTACCTCTCCAGCCCTGTAATCTAACCAAAAGATAAAACAACAAACAAAGATAGAAGAGTAGGAGAAATTGATAAATCTAAACACTAGCTTTTCAGAATATTGGCAAAATCAATAAAATAGTTTGACAAATCAAAGAGAAGTGAAAATTGATAGCAAAAATGAAATCAGGAGTGTCGCTGTCAGGCCCACAGAAATCAGGGCCATGGTGTGTTGCTTAGCACATAGAAATATGACTACTCAGATCCATCAGGTTCTTAGTAGACAGGTTTTTAAATGAATTTTTAATTATCTTTTATCTATTAGTAAAGTTAATTTATATTTATATCTTTTCAAAAAGAGAAAATGCAGGGCCTGAGTGATTTACTGGCAAATTCTGCCTAACTTACTTGCATGTTTAGTTTTTGAAGTCGTGTCACACGTTTTCTGTACCTGCAACTTAGGACCCTCCTGGTTCACTTTGCAAAGACACTTGCTACTATACTCAGTACCTTTTGTTGATTGATCCCAGAACTTATGAGACAGACATGCTACCAGTCAAGCCACATTTAAGCCAGCTGGCTACCAATGTTGAAGGAAGACGTTGTATCCCCATGGTAAGGGTAATGATGAATTGATACCTAGTTTTCATGGGACTTTGTGGCTTCCTTACTTGTCCCAGCAGTGATCTATTTTAGTGTCATATCGTACACCATTGATTCCTTCCTACGAGTCTGGTAACAGCTACAGTTTATTGAGTCTATTGTTTTTCTTAAGTTTTAGTAGATATTTTAGATCTTAGTCCTTTTTTTTTCTTTTTTTGAGACCATCAGAGTGGCCTCAAACTTGATATTTAGCTAGGAATAAAATTAAACTTCACATCTTCCTGACTCCACCTCCTTCATGTTGGGATTACAGGGGTATACCACCAGACTTGGGGTGCTTGGGAACAAACTCAGGTTGTTAGGATCAGCAGTAGATGCCTTTTATTGAGCTATTTTGTCGGCCATTTTGTGTGTGTGTGTGTGTGTGTGTATGTGTTTTATTTTTATGAGTCAAAGAAGTCTTGCCGGGCATTGGTGGCGCACGCCTTTAATCCCAGCACTTGGGAGGCAGAGGCAGGCGGATTTCTGAGTTCGAGGCCAGCCTGGTCTACAGAGTGAGTTCCCGGAAAGACAGGGGGTTAAACAAAAAACTTTTTTCCAAAAAAAAAAAAAAAAAAAAAAAAAAAAAAAAAAAAGAAGTCTTAAGTAGAACATACCTAAAATTCTACCATCCTCATCAAAGAGTATTGTAATGAAATAAAATTATGTTACCTCTTTTCTCATATACCATTTTTTTAAATTAAAAATTTATGTAGATACATTACTCCCGTCTTTTTCTGTTTATTTCAGGAGTATTTTGTGGAGCCGTTTAATCGAAAAGCCCGTCAAGAGAACTTGAGGTACAATAATATGATTAAACAACTTAACAGTCAGCAGTTGGCGGCTTTTAGACACTGGAAGGCGATACGGCTCTATCTTAAATGTGAAAGGGGGCCTTGGGCTGAAAAGTAGGTGCATATTTTGCTCTTTAGAACTGTGGCATTAAATTTTAAACTTTTAAGTCAATTTTTTTTTTAAAGAATACTTTGAATTTACTGTTTTTTTATGTGTTGGTTTGGGAAGATGAGAGGTTTGTATGTATGTATTACTTATCCTATGCTGAGTTCTCCTTTTACCCTAATGTTACATCCATTAGACTTTAGACTCTAATATTCCATAACAATATTTCTGCCTTTCTCACATCACCTTATTAAGCTAGAGTTAATGAGGTTATTATGTACTTCAACACTGTACAACTTAATATTGTCACTTCTTTTTTGGTATATATATTTTATAGCCCTTGTTTTTAAAAAGTGGTAAAGTAAACCTTTTGTTTATCTTTTTGATTAGCTGAACAGTGGATAAATATTTAGTTGTTGACCACCTTTGAGCTACTGTGACAGTGCTGCTATGGATAGTTGTATCAAAATGTTTTGAGAGCATGCTTTTAAATCTTTTTGGGTATATAAGTGCACGTTCTGCATCATATTTCATCTTTGACTTATTAAAAATTGACAAAAATTGTCAGTATGTTTTCCAATTTCACCGGTACTTGTCATTTTCCAATTTTTCAAATAGCCCTCCCATTGTGTACTTAAAGCATTATCATATAATTTTGCTTTTCATCATTCTAATAACTGTGTTGAACACTTTTTGTGTACTTGTTGGCTGTTTGTCTCCTTTGAAAAGAATGTTCGCTTGTTTCCTTTGCCTACTTACCACATTGAATGATTGATTTTTTGCTGAAGTGTGTGTGTCAGGATATATGTATTATCAGTGACTCTTCAGATGATTTGCATATATGTAGATGATTTTTCACTATCTTGATCCTGACCTTTGTTGTTCAAAAATTATAATTTTAATACAGCTATTCTTTTCCTTGCATGCTTTTTATAATGTGCTTAGGAAAGTCATAAAACTTTACTTTTTCTTCTAAGAGTTTTATCGTCTTAACTTTGATATTTTGGTTATTTTTATTTGTAGTAAAACTTTTTAATATTATGGTTATGAAATTGCATTTAACAGTGAAAGAATAAAGTAATCAAGCTAGAAGTCTGAAAGCTAGTGTCCAAATCTTATTTCTCTACCATTAAACCTCATGGTATCCTGGGTAAATAATTTAAACTCTCTTGGTTCATCTATGTTGTAGCTAAACATACTCATTTTAGCTTTCTTGACAGTTGTCCAGATGATAAATATAAACATTTAAATTTGTTTCTAAAGTAATTGCTAGCATATAAAGGTAGTAGGTTTCAATATGCTGTTTGTATACATTGTGTCATTCTGCTGGTCTTACTCATCCCCCACCCCACTGCTCTCCTTCAGATTTACCCAAGCCTGGATTTTTGTAGTGCTAGAAATCACACCCAGGGCCTTGGGCAAGCCAGCCAGTTGTTGTATCTTGAACATTTTCTAAATTGTGTTGAGCAGTTGTGAAGCACTTTATACTTGTTTATACCCTTTAAACAACAAATCTTTATAATTTTAAATAATCTTACTTGTTTCATTGTGAATGTTTATAGGAAACAGAATCGAATTCACTGGAAACTAGCTAATGTAGAAAATTATTCCCGCATGAGACTTAAACTGGTACCAAATTATAATTTCAAAAACCACGAGGAAGCAAGTGCCTTAAGAGATAATTTAGGTGAGTTACAATATCTACTTGTTTTAATAAAGAGATGTTAACAGACTGCTTATTATTGTTGTTTGTTTTAGACATTTACTTATGAACAAAGGGGTATAGTACTTTAAAGTGTATGTGTAAATGTGTACATGAATTCAGTGTTGTTAATTTTGGCCTAAATCTAAGATGAGTGTGTATTTCATTGAATGTAACTTTCCAAAGCAAACCAATATTTTTACTATATTTAATTTATGTTTTGTTGAGAAATAATATCCTTTCCCTTAGATTAATGTAGCCTTTTTCCCCATTCTTTAATTTATGACTCTTTTATAACTTGCCTTTTTTTTTCATCATTTTTCATATACATTAAGAGTACACGTAACTGTCATCAGACATACCATAAGAGGACATCGGATGCCATTACAGGAGGTAGTGAGCCACCATGTGATTGCTGGGAATTGAACTCAGGACCTCTGAAAGGGCAGTCAGTGCTCTTAACTGCTGAGTCATCTCTCCAGCCCATAACTTGCTTAAAGAACCCTACATTTTTAATGTCTTAAATGTGCCTTGTTTTAGAAAAGAATACTTTGCAAATATTTACCCAAGCAGTGTTTCAAAGGGGTTTCTACAACTTTGTAAGAAGCTCTTCTTGGTTGGTTGTCATTTATCCTCTTTTGAAGAAAAGTCTGAAATACACAGAAGTAGTTCTTGTGATGAGTCTGTGTCACCTACATGTTTACCAAGTCATAATTATTGCCACTGGAGCTGCTTCTGTATTACTTGTGTCTCATGATAGGTTTATAGATAAAACAAGTGCCACATTTATTCCATCATGTTTAAGTACCACATTTTCATTATCCATTTATCAGTTGAAGGGCGTTCAGGTTGTTTCCATCTCCTAGCTGTTGTGAGTTGAGCAGCAGTGAACATGGATCAGCAAATATCTGTGGTTTAGGGTGTCACGTGCTGTGGGTGTATGCCAAGGAGTAGAATAGCTGGGTCATAGGGTAGGGTTTTTTTAGGTTTTTTTTTTTTTTTGATAATTTTCCACACTGGTGTCCATAGTGGCTGTTTTAATTTGAAATCCAGCCAGCAGTGATGAAGGTTCTCTTTTCTCCATTTATCCCTTTCAGCACTTGTTGTGTGTAGTATGTTGCCATTTTGACTGGGGTAAGATGGAATTTTAAAGTTGTTTTGATTTGTATTTCTCTAATTGCTAAGGACAAGAAACACTTTTTTGAGATTTTTTTTTCCTTTCTTTAAAGACCAGTCAGGTCCCATGCCCATTTTTTTATAGGTGGGTTTGGGTTTTTTGTTGTTCTTTTTTGGGGGTATTAACTCTGTCGGATGTGTAGCTGGCAAAAAGTCTCTCCTATTTTGTGGGGTTCCTCTTCACTTGGTTGTTTTGTTTTTGTTATTAAGTGTGCAGTTCCATGTAAGTCGTCATGTTTTTAAAAAGTAGGAAGCACAGATTCAGAGAGCCCAGTGGCAGGACAGAATTGAAATGCAGTGTTGTAACTTAGTGTCCATGTTCTTTCCATTATAAAGCCCTTTGTTATTACAAAGTACCTAGTTTGTACACTATACATGTGTTTTGTGTATGTATTAGCGTTACCTGTTCCTTTCCATGTACTCCAGGAAGTGATGGCTCCGCTGTCTGTTATTTGTCAGCTATGGACAACTGCTCATACTGTCTTTTCTCTCTTTCTTCTCTTTCTTTTGAGGCAGGCTCTCTATGTAGCCCTGGCTGTCCTTGAAACTCAATATATAGACCAGGATGGCCCTGAACTCACAGAGATCCACCTGCCTCTGCCTCCCAAGTGCTAGGGTTAAAGGTGAGCACCACCATGCCTGGCCTGGCTATCATATTTGATATTTAGTACAAGTATACAATCACATTAATATTAACCCATTGAAATTTATTTAATTATTAACTTGCTTTAATTAAATATAATTATGATTCATGAATCTATAATTTGCATAAAGTTAGCTCTGTACCTCTCTCAGACTGTTAATCTAGTACTTAGTCTATTTCTGAATCAAGAATTAGCTATTATTAAAAATAACTCGATTTCTGAGTTCAAGAGTTCGAGGCTAGCCTGGTCTACAGAGTGAGTTCCAGGACAGCCAGGGCTACACAGAGAAACCCTGTCTCGAAAACAAAAACAAAAAAACCCAACAACAACAAAAAATAACTATCATTTTAAAACTATGTATATTTTACTACATGTATACTAATTGTAAAAAATCATCTAACATCAAAACTATTAGAAAATACAGAAGTGCTATAATATTTTGTACTAGTTTTTAGTTTATTTATTTATTTTTTTATTAAACAGGTATTCAACACTTACAGCCTTCGAGTGATTCACTGCTTTTGGAAGTAGTGAAACAAGTTAAACTCAGTGATATAGAGGAAGATAAACTAGAACTTCTTGAAGAGGACATGGCAGCCAGAGTAACTATGTATGTATGAGTATTTGAAAGCAGTTAAACTATGTTATGAGAAATGGGACCTGCAAAATTGTAGATTTCCTTGAGTTCCTGGTTTTCTAAACAATTAATTAATTGTTTAATTTCAAGTGTTGTAATTCTTTAAATTTAACAATTAATGTCTTACCAGCTGTTCAGAATCTGAGAGTATTTACTGAAAGTATTGAGGAAGACTTCCTGCCTAGGATTGTTGGGATCTGTATTGGAAATCCTAAAGTATTTTTGAATGAAAATATTGAATGACATATGGCTTAAAGTTATGTTTTTTGGAAATCTGCAACAGAGTCTGAGGTATAACTTAGCAGCAGAGGGCTCATCTAGTATGTATACCACAAGACCCTAGGTGTCATCCAAGATGATGGTCCATGAAGGAAAACTATCTGTGTGAAATATAAAACCAAAAGAAAAAATAAAACTATAAAAAGAAATCTATTCAGGAGACATGAAAAAAATGAAATAATTATAGATACGAAAGTTAGTAAAAAAATAAACATACTGCAAAACTATCAACTTCTAGCTAGATTGATTAGGAATTTCAAAAAGCAACATAAACATCCAATATCAGCAGTGAAGAAGATATTCTTTTCCACATAAGTGGGCTAAATTCATGATTACTACTTTTAAACTTTTTGTTCAGTGATGAGAAGGAAGAACAGGATCAAAAGGAAAAGTTGGTGTTGACTGAAGACTGTGAACTCATTACAGTAATTGACATAATTCCCGGCAGATTAGAAGTCACTACTCAACACATTTACTTCCATGATAACAGTATTGAAAAAGAAGATGGTGAGTAGTTCTGGGAAAATAATTACTTTTCATTATTAAATATCCAGATCCATCAGTCATGAATTAGAGGAAGAAACAAAGTGGTACTGTGAAATTATATAATTATAATTATAAATTTATCTTGTAAAATGAAAAATGGAGAGTCAATTAGAAATTAGGCTCATTCAGCCATTGTGTATTGAAGGGGAATAGTCATTTTTTATGTGTACACACACAGTATTAGTGATTGAAACCGGGACCATTCTTATATAAGGCAAGTGTTACATTAGTGATTGAAACCAGAGCCATTCTTATGTAAGTGGGTAAGTGTTACCCAGGCTGGCCTTGAACTTAAAATTCTCTTGCCTCAGCCTTCTGAGTAGCTAGGATTATAGGCATGTTAAACCCCCCCATCCAGTTGCCTTTATCATCCTCATCAGTACTAATGTATTTAAAATTATTTGACTTGAGGGTACCACAGTAAACTTAGTTATAAAATGCAGTCTTAATACTTGTGTGTGTGTGTGTGTATTTGTCTTGTAAGCTCTTACTTTTTTATGATTAAATCTGAAGATCCAACATCCTAGAAAGAGTTCTAAGGCATACAGTTTAGAATTACTATCTGGCCTCGTAGAAAGGTAGTAGAATAGCTTAGGGGTTCTAGTATAGTTTAAAAGAAACGATTTATAATTCCTAATGAATACTTGTTTTTGAATGTAGAATTCCTTTCCCCTGAGTATTACTTTTGGAAACAAGGAAATATTTTCTTCCTGGAGTGAGTAACTTTATGTGGCACCTCAGTCACAAAATTTCTTTTGTTTTCAGGACTGGGCTTTGATTTCAAGTGGCCTCATTCTCAAATTCGAGAGATTCACTTACGTCGTTACAACTTAAGGAGATCAGCACTTGAGATTTTTCATGTTGATCAGTCCAACTACTTTCTCAATTTCAAAAAAGAGGTGCAGTGCCTTTCTGATAATTATAAAGTATTATTTTGAAATAATTTTCCAGCTATTGAGTTCTCATGGTATTTTGGGCTGTATCCCTGTCGATACAGAATATTAAAGAAGAAAATGTGTTCTGAAGCTAGTCAGTATATAAACTTTGTTGAGATTTACTTGGGAATTGAGATGATTGTTTTCAGTGAGTGTGTATGCACAGTAGAACAGTGACTGTCAGTCAGTAGATGCCAGACATTACCTGTGGTACAACATGCACTATGTAAGATTACACAAGCTATGCACAGTGTGCCTGGATTTCCTTTTCTCTTATGAGGGCGCTAATGTCAATACGTTTTGGCTTCATAACACCATTTTAAAAAACTTATGTGTACAAGTTGTAGCGTGCCTACAACTTACAAGAATCAGTTCTTTCATTCCACAATGTAGTTCCTAAGGATCAAAGTCAGGTGATCAAGTTTGGTAGTAGGCAACTTCACTGCCATCTTACTGTTTCCATGACCTCATTTAATATTGATTGTCTCCAAATGCCCTATCCCTTATTATGAACTTATCAGTTGAAGATCAGGTTTTTAAATCATAAACTTTGAAAGGACATATTCAAACCACAGCACCAAATACGGTAAAGAAATTGAAATATCCAGAAGAGGTAAAGCTATGGAACAGATAATAGATTCTGGTTTTTAAGAAATTAGGGAGGAGGCAAAATTGGGAATAACCGCTCTCAAGTTTATGCAGTAGTGAAGAGTTTCTAAAGTAAAATGATGATGATGATAGAGGCACACTGTAAAAGAAAGAAAACACTTGCTCTTAAAAGATTATGTGTATCTTGGGGAAACTATACCAAAGCTATAAGCTGTATTTGTCTTGACCAGTTTTTAAACTAAGCAGTAATATTTCTTTATAGGTTAGAAACAAAGTATATAGCAGACTGTTGTCACTTCATTCTCCTAATAGTTATGGAACAAGATCACCACAGGAATTATTCAAAGCATCAGGGTTAACACAGGTAGGACATTTTATAGCTTGTTGTATTTTGTTCATTTTATATCTTATAATTTTGCTTAAAACTAAAACTTCTGGTTATTTTGTATGTTCTAACTTCTCCCATCCATCCATCCATCCATCCATCCATCCATCCATCCATCCATCCA